CATCGAAATAGGACAACTGTCTGGTTATCACATACGAATAAAGAAGAGAACATTTCAAGCAATGAGACCGCATACTGCATCACTATGGAAAAGAGCCCATGTACTTCTACTTAAATTGATCTAATCAATATGGTTTATTTATTTTAATTTAATCAACAACTACAGAAAGAACAATAGTACACTAAGATATTAAAATAATATAGGTAATAAAATAGCCATGAGTATATTTATAGTAAAAAAACTAAAATAAATTTTTAAACACTCACCAGGATCTTGTTAATAAATTTATCCAATGGCAATACTATAAATATAAATCTAATTAAAGACAGCTAAGGTTAACACAATAGACTATTTGAGTCGCGGTGCATTCCCCAGTTTATAGTATGTTAGCAATTGTTGATTGGTTGGTTGCAGTGACAGGCCATTAGATAAGTTTCGATGTACCTCAATTAACAATTTTTCGCCCCTTTTGCTAACACATTCCTCACAACAACCCCAAAGATAGAAGAATACATAATTCATCCTGTTGAATTTATATAATATAACAAGTCTTTTGACTTTACCGGTGAACAGTCTGATAACCTGTCAAAAAAATAACTCACTAAAAACCTATTTTCTTTAGGCCTAAGTGGATCTACCAGGGATCGCCGGTATAACCTAACTTAACCTACAAAGTATGCTAATTATTAATAGTACAGTACGAAATGGTTACATGGTAAAAGTTTTATATTAAAAGTATTTATAATTCTCAATTAGTTAAATTAATTAGTGACGATCCCTTTAATTAAGTTCAATGTAGTGTTTATTATCGGTTCATTTTAAATAACTTAACGCACTTTTCTAGTTGTTTATTTAAATTAAAGTAATGAAACCGAATGTTAACGTATAAGGATTTTATGATGATATTAAAAGTAATATAAAATATATGTATTTATATTATGTACTTCGTAATACGTTAAAAGTATTTATAATTCTCATTTTATTGAAATAATAATATATATAAATTATTGAGTTTTTATAGTTAACAGTTAAATATTATTTTAATATAATCTTAATAAATAAACTTCTTTGGTCGAATGTTACGGCTGAAAATCAAAATCATTTATACTCCAAACAGTGTCGGATTAAGCTCACATAGGCCGTTTATTAGACATATTCAATCTATCTCGAATTAAATTTTTTTTGTTTGTAAATTTTGTAAGTTATTTGAATCAAAGTTTTTCAGGGAGGCCAATAGGTTAGTCTAAAATACATATTGATTTGTAGATAAAATCTATATATCCGCCTTTCACAAGTTAGTACAAGTACTTTTCTATGTATTTTTATCCTCACATTGTTAGCTAGCAAATCGGCATATCAAAAGCAGTCCTCGTGTTCTGCATAAGAATAAATTGAATATATGTAAATTTCGGAATATTGTTTAATATCCATAAAAATGAAAGTATATTAAAAGTTTTTTTTTAATGGCATAGATGTAGTTCAAAGAAATATTTTCATCCACTTCAAACTCTGACGCATATCACTATGGAAAAAAACCGAATTCCTTACTTTACTTTGTACTTAACAAATTAAGTATGTGTAATATTTGTACAAATATTTATTTTATCTTTTATTAAAATAAATTATCAAAATTCATTTAAAACGTGTTGATCAAATCAATATAATTTTTTTTCTACTTCAATTTTTTATTTCTGATGTTTGCAAATTCTGAAGACACAAAACGTTTTGCTAAACTTGTTGCAAATAATTAATTCCACTCATTAAATTAATTTAGAAAAAAAAAATCAGATCAGAACAAATGCACTTAAATAGTTAAACAACTTAACACATCAACTTATCCATAAATCTTAGACATGATCATCAAATGCCATCATCGATGATCCATCCAAAAATCAAAGATGCCAACAACGTGCGCAACTTAATCAATCAAATCTGAACCAAAATTTATTTTTGCTTTGTTTTAATGTTAAAATTTAAATGCAAATTTTTAAAATTGTTTATATTTTTTGATTTGCTGTATGTGTTTTTTATTTAATTTTTTTATATATTTTTAATTTCAATTAAATTATCACGTCTCACGATCGGTTTTTGACGATCGACGCTTGGCTGGAGTTGAATGTAAAGTGGAGTTTTATTGTGTTATCGTGCTTTAATTAACACTTCAAAGTGTGGCTTAATTATTTCCAAAGTTAGCAAATAAATCTCATAAACTCATAGTAAATTAAATTGAAATTAATTCTGAAGTCGAAAGTCTTTTTTACCGAAGAAGATGTACACAAAATCTAAACAAAGACTTCGAGTGCTCCACAGCCTGAAGGAATGTTATAAGAAAAACTTGAAGAACTATTTATGGCATATAATTGTGTAGATATTCCTAAGTGTTTGTACATACTTATAATTATACAATTTTTATACATGATTATTATTATTTTATTATCCGCTTTTATTTGCTATTTACTCTTCAGATTCATAAATTAATTGAGGGAGGTGTTAACTTCTCTGAAAACGGCGCACAGTGTTAAGAAATTAACGACTTTGGCGCTTCGTTGCTGGATTCTATTGAACTCGAAAATCATTAACACTCCATTATTTGCAATTATTAGAAATATTATTAACAATTAATATTAATATTATTATTATCTGTGCAATGTTTACAATAACAGCGAGAAGAAGAAGAACCAACTTTAATAAATGTATTAAAAGCTTAACGCGTACGTATCGATGCTCAAGTCCCACTAAAAGATAAATCGGCTGCGATCCACACAAAAATTGATACATAAATAATTATGAAAATGTTGATAAATTTAAAATTGTTTAATTGATAAAACGTGAGTTAACATTTTTAGATTTCAATTTGTAATAAAAATTGAATTCGAAGAATAATCGATGTTCTCGTTGTGTTGTGGCAACACTCGAAATCAAGGAAGCATTTGCGCTTTGCGAAGAGTAAAAACTGTACCGTCATTTTAATTGAGTTCAAAGCTAAGAGTAGTTCAAGAGCCCCAAATTATAAACTAAAATTAGAAAAAAATTTTAGTTTATATTTTATATTTTATTTTATATAACAAACAATATTGTTGGATAGTTGGACAAAGAAATCTTGTTAATGGATACCTGTCCACAAGTTTAAAATTTCTAGTATAGAATTCAGAGCACCACTTCATAGTGCGTGGCCAAGCAATGCCTAGAGAGATAAAAATTATTGTGAGATCACAACACTTAGCTAGTCCAAATTGTACAAAATTAATACCAATCAGCTGCTCCAACCAAAATAGAACCAATACTACAGTATTGGTACTGATAGGTCAGCGCGTATTAGGAAGGCATGCAAGAAGATTTGTGCTTTAAACGACTTTTCTAACTGACCATACAGTGCTGTCATGCTTGATGATTAAAGACATAGCCAAGCTTAAAGACTCCTTAGGTTCGTTCCCTTCTAGTTGAATAGAAGAGCCTTTTTAAAAGAGCGATCTTCCTGCACTAGATGTTTTGAGACTTTAACCTTTTAGTTGGTTTATTCGGATCTAGCGCACAGATGGTTTCTCATTTGTGGCATCACAACAAGCCATTATTTGTGCTTAAGTGAGCTTTAGTGCACAAGACTGCCACTTCACTCCAACTTATACTAAAAAGTAAGACAATTTACAATAAAATAGATCAAGTATTAGGATTATATTGTACTTTATACTATTTCACTTATATCAGATAATTAAAATTTATTATTTACTTATGCTTTAATTAAGATCAATAAAGCATTATATAATGTATAATAAAATGGTTTTTCACAGCGTTGTTGCAATAAAACATTCCACTGTTAAGTGGAATTATTTATAGACAAATTAAAAGTAACTTAATGGACCAAGTCGTTTTTTCATTACAGTGTTTTCAATAACAATTAACTGCTGCTTAGATCAACCAACTTATACCAAGCAAATTAAAGCTGAAGCTGGAACTAGACAAGCCTGCATCCTCTCTCCGATATAGCTTGTATATTTGCGGAATACATTTAGAAATTCGTTTTTGTAAAGTGAAAATAATTCATATATATCTGAATTACTTCAACCACTTGAACCAGTCAAGAGAACATTAAACTTCCATAGACCTGATAAAGACAATAAGGTGCTATTAATAACTGGAATCCAACAGATTCTCTTAGTCTACCAAAATTAGTTTCCATTATTTACATAAAAAAACAGCAAATGAACAGTTCAAAACCAAAGTTATGTGTACGATGATATTGATATTAAGTAGCGAACTAAGTTAGGTTGAGTTTAAAATTGCCAGAAATTCGACAAACGTTATTCTTGTTAAGCCATTGGGCTTCCCAGTTGAAACTCAAGATATTCGATAAATTTCGGTTAGCTCTACGAAGCTTATGTAGAACGATCTTCTAGACATTAAATCCGATTCGTCTACAGCCCTAAATAAGGACTTAGAAAGTTGTTGATATCTATCTATGCATTTATATATATCTCTCCATCTTTCTTACCCACCCTCTCTTTCTCACTCACCCTCTCTCTCACTCAAATCTCTCTCACTTCCTCTCTCTTTCTTGCTCTCTGTCTGTTCCTCGCTCGCTCTCTCTCTTGCTCTTTTTCGCTCCACTTCATACTGTTCTTTTATTCAAAAAAGTTAGTATGCTTAAAACCTAATAGATGCCGAATTTTTTTTAACCAATCTGCATAAAAATTAACACATCATAATGAGGCTTATCTCCAATACATAATAACATAAATAAAAATAAATTGCATAATAAGAATATTTAGCATAATTTTATAATAAATTTTATTTAAATTTTTCTGTTTTGTTTTTAATTAATTATCAAAATAAATGATATAACAATAGACAAGTGCAATAAATTCAATAAAAACGACAACAAAGTAGTGCGTCAAAAATAAAACAATGAATTATTTTATTTTAACAAGTTTCTCACCATAACTAAGAAATTAAACAAAAACTTATTTATTAACTTTTTAAACAATAAATTTTCATTATTGCAGATGCACCAGTAATTTTGACGCTGCCGCATATGTTGGGCGCCTCGAACGAGTACAGAAAAATGATTCGCGGTCTCAAACCGGATGCGAAGAAGCATCAAACATTCGTTGATGTGCAGATGGTAAAGTAGAAGAAAACCTATAAATAGAAAAAAAATTATATCTTATGCAGTCAAGTTTTAATTTAATTTCTATTCACTTTCATTATCGGTTCACTGCCACAGCTCACTGGTACGCCGCTTCAGGGAGGCAAACGCGTGCAGTTCAACATGTTCTTGAAGAGCATAAATCGCATTACGATCACGGAGAATCTGACAACCGTGCTAATGCCAGCTATTTGGGTGGAGGAAGTATGTTTCACAGTACCTGACATTGCTAATTCATTAACTTATAAATTAATTATTATTGCATTTTACTATTCTAAAGGGCATTCAGCTAAACAATGAGATGGTAGCGTTCTTCAAAAAGAAACTAATAAACTCCCTAAAGACACTGAATATTGTGCATTGGGCTTCACTGTGTGGTGGCATTGGAGTGGCATTAATTTGTCTGATGTATTATGTCGTGTACCGTCGAAAACCCATTGAAGAAGCACCGCTAAAGTAGGAGGACTTGTTAAAAGTTGTTCGGGTTATAGATAAATCTAACTTTAGCATTATAATATATGTATGTGGTTAAATATATGTATATGTTTGTTATTATATTAACTATTGTTATGTATTTTGTATTTAATTCTAGTTTTATGTATTTACTATCTAATTGTTGTAAATAATTTTGTTATTGTGATTTTTATTTAAAATAAATTGTGATTTAGGTATTGTACTCAAATAAAATCAATTTTTTCTTTTATAAAGTTATAATTATACTGATATAAAATAAAAAATATAAGATAAAAAATTTTAACATCATTCACTAAAGTCAGTAAATCAGATATAAAAAAGTCGCATCAATGTAAATTGCATTAGTAAATAGAATCCATATCAACTGAGAAATAACTTCATTGATCCAGCTTTGCTCATATATATATATACCCAGTAATACTCGCAAAAGTGCATCAAAAGTGCACAAAAACGCTAACTTATAGCATCAAAATCGATCAAAAAAAAGAGCAAAATACTAGATAACAGCATAAAAACGTCAAGTTAGAGAGTTTTTCAAAATTTTATTGACTGCTCTTTTATATAAAATAAAAGTGTAAGTTTTGAAGAATATTTCCATAAGTCGATAATGCATCCTCCCTGCTGATCTTATCCAAGCCTTGCGTTCCAAACCCTCCAATAACTTAAGCTATACTTAGATGACTCGGGACTCAGATGCCCCCATCATCGCACTCGTGACCCCGGTCACAGAGTCAACCACTACTGAAGAGTTGCTGAGAAAAAATTGAGCGAAAAATTGCTGGGAGAAGTTTTTTCGAAGAGTTATTGCGAGTTGCGACGAGGAATTCCTACAAGATATTATTTCGAAAATAATTATTATAAAGAGGAGTTGGTGACAGAAATTACTTTTAATTGTTGCAGCAATAAGTTGCTGCGAGGATTTATATGGAAAAGATATTGAGAGGATTTATAAAAAGGAGTTGCAGCGAGGTGTTTCTAGCAAACATTCACCAAAGACATTAATCTCTACTAAAATATAGAAGTAATATTGTTATATGTGTCAATATGTATGTATATCACAACCAGTATTATATAGTCATTTTTTTTAAACTTATAAAACATAAAACGCAAAATTGAAAAGTTTTAAATGAATATATACATTAATTCGTACACACAATATAAATCAGAGCTAATTAGTAATTTTTTTAAAAAAAACACTGACTATAAGAGTAACCTCTTTAATATCACATGATAATATTTAATTCATTTCTTTGATATTTTTTACTTGATAATAATAAATTCATTTAAAGTTAGAAGTAACAAATGTAATAAAAATTAATTCAAATATATTTTAATAATAATTTTTATAATTTTTATATAGTTTTGCAACACTTAATATTGATTGAATGTTGTCTTTCATTTCTGACAGGGTTGCATTTTAGAGTTGTTTCAAGACTGTTGAAAAGCGATTTGAAACTCGCATGAACACATATGCAGAAAATTACTTTAAGCTTAAAAAAAGTAGTTTATTTATATAACAAAAAATATCCTATATATACAATATTAGTAATAATTTATTTGAATATAATTTTGCTCTTTTGACTCGCTTCTCTAAAATCCTATTCATACAGCAAACATTAATATCATATCAATTTATAATAATGCCCTTTAATGGATTAATACTAATTTATTCACAAGTTAAAAAACTGGATTACTGGAATTTAACAACTTAATTTCAATTCATTTTATTTAATTACATTTCAATCATAATAATAACTTACGGGATCTTGAACGGACTCAGACTGTGATTTCAAAGTGATTATGTTACGCACAAACTCAAAAGAGCCAAATAAGTAAAGTTTAGAACATAATTTTAATTACATCTGCTCGATTCGTAAATAATATTACCAAATTAATGTTTAAATAATACATTTTCACTTTAAACTATTTTTGCATATGAGTGTTTATATATTTCAAAAGTGTTAAATCATAATTTCTTCACTTTTATGTTGGTTGAGAATAATAAATAAAACTTTTAATAAAAAAATAATTTAATATATATAATTTTATGACAAAGTGCAATAGAAAATATATAAATAGTTTCAAAATAGTTTATTTGGGTTTATTATTTTTTTCCTTTTCGCTGCTAGTTAGTTAAATTTTGAGTATTTCTTAAAATTATTAATAATATCTAATATTATATATAACAGTTTAAATCTTAACATAAATTGAGAAACAAACAACTTATAGTTAATTCGAGTAAATATTAAGCTCTTATTTACACTCAGCATCTAGTTTTATTTATTTATTTGTATTTCTTTATTAATTTATTTGCTTTATAACAGCATATAACGACAAAAATACACAGTTGACACAAATCGAAACAGAATTTAAATTATCTTATCTCTCATTGTCCCCTGTAAACAATCTTATGCAAAAATATTGTACAACATAGTTCTTAAAATTTGCAGTATTGTGGAATTTATGGAATTTTTCAATTTAGTTTAATTTTATTTGCCACATAAATCCACAATACGCTTCAACTTTTAAAAATATTTTTAAATATTTTAGTCTCCTACAAATTTTATTCAAAACTAAAATTAGACAAGTGCATTAAGTTAAGCTAATACCAATTTGAACATTAGTTTGATTTTATCTTTATTCGTTAAACAATACGGTTTAATACGGTTTACATAATGCTTTAGAGCAGTCCCAATAAACTAAAGAGCACTAAAAAATTTTAGTAAATTTATGTTCACGTTTACATTCTCTCATAACATGTTCCCCTCAACAGTTTTCTCGCTTTAAAATTTTTCGTCTCGCATGTATTGTGTTTTCAGCACTTTATTGATTTACATTAACATTGATATTTACAAATTATAAATCAAATTTACTAAATATTGTATTTTATTTTAAATTAATTATATACATATGTTTATTTTTAACATATTTTTTTTATTTTCTATTGCTTTTATTATTTGATTATTTGTTGTCTGTTTTATATATGTATTTCAAATTCTATTTGTTATCAAAAGCATTTTCAGGTCACAGAAAAATATTTTTATTGAATCAAACAATAGCACATCATATTCTTGTTAATTATAATGATTATAGACTGCATATTATTTCTACGCCAAATATTAGTTATATAGTTTTGGTAGTGTACTGATTAACACCGAATATTGGAAAATTAAAATATAGATATGTACATATTTCGTGGTATTTAGTAATCCTCAAAAATTATTCCAACAACATTAAATTAATGTTAATAAATTTAATGTATTTAATAATTATTTTAACATTTAAAAAAACATATATATAAATTTAATATAATGTAGTATATGTATACGACTTTACAACATAATTTAAAGATAATATGCATAAGAATAATTAAATAACATATAATTAGTTAGAGTTTCTAGCTTTTTTAATTCAAGCACATATTACACTTATATTAAGATAAAGAATACAATTGCATAAGACATGTCAAGCCATGGCGTTGTAAGCCGATCTGAATTTAAATAAAAAACTTACTTATTATTTCAATGACGAAAATGTTATTAATCTTTTAGTGAAATGATTAACACCAAAAAACATTTTCTTTGCCATACGTCATCAAAAACGTGTAAATAGAAATATTTTTTAAAAAACTAATTTTAAAAAAGTTTGGTATTTAAGCAATTGATAAATTAGCCCATTTCAAACACAAATGGACATAATCAATAAATAAATTATTTGTGTTATATGCATTTAGTTCTATTGCTGAAAAAAGTTGCTGTTAATTTAAATAAAACAAATCTATCTAAATTATTTGATAATTTTTTGAAAATTTTTATTGAAATATTTATGTAATATAATGAAATTATTATACAACTAAATTAATTTACTAATTGTGTATAATTACCTATTGCACAACAAATAATTATTTTTATCAAGCATTCCAATCTATTACAATTTATAATAAATTTTATATGCAAGCTGTCAAGCTGCCACCCTAGCGTCATAAAATAGAAGCATGCAATGACAGCAGCAATTAGTGACCGAACACGGCTTCACAAAATTTTTAGTTTGTGTGTTTGCAAGTGCTGGTTCACTGAAGTGGAGCAGTAAACAAGGTTTTTAGAGTAATTCACGTAAATTAATAACTAAAAAAAATCAAAAATTGAATAACAAATGCTTTTTTTATAAAATGCATATGTTATATATAACCTTGTATAAATTAATATGAAATAATTTTTCGGTGCGTCGCACGACCATAGAAGCACTAAAATGTGTTTGTGAAATATGGAAAATATGTCATTGAGTGAATAAAATTTCTCCTCAAATATGCAATTGTTAACGCGCTAAAATGTCCAAAAAATACATATGATTAAAATTAATATTTAGTATAATATATATAAATACAAGCATAAGAAGCATTAGGTTTTATAAAAAAAATTATTAATGTTGATATAAGTACTATAATTTTCATAATTCCTTAAATTTACGTGTGTGCGGGCACTTCTCTTTCGTTTCTCCGTCGGCAATCGGTACATGTTTTTTCTGACTGACTCGTATGCACGTAAAATCAATTGTGGCGTATTCGTTTGTGTTACAAAGAACAATGATTGAAATGAAGTAAGCGAATTCGGTGTTGGTGGTACAGCAACATATTTTGCTCAGGTAGGTCGCTTTTGCATTGAGTGTTCTCTACACGCATATAGAGTGCTCTTTCTTGCATACTGCTGATAACGAAAAAGTTTTTTCTCTTTGTTACCCCTAGTACGATAGTACAACGAAAATTATGTTAGAAATGTGTTGCCAGACTAATTTACATTAAAGTTTTTTTTGGAAATTGGACATAAAGAGATATTTTTAGAGTACAAAATAAGTTTTAGAAATGAGAAAAAGTTGTGAAATTCATATGATTTTGTTTTATCTTAATAATCACTTTTATATGCGATTATTGTTGTTTATTTTCATATGTTTTGAATAATATGGTAACACATTTTTGTTGACATATTTCACTGACTGCTCAATTAAATCTTGTACAATTTCATTTTTCGCTGGTTTTCTTTTTGTTCATTTTTTGAGAAAATGGCGGCGTCAAGTTCTGCCAAATTTTTTGTACATCAGAATCAAAATAAAGCAAATAACAGTGCTGTTTCTGCTTTCTCTGCTGATAGTGACGTTGCTGAGTTCATTGAAACGTCGGAAAATGTGGATAAAAATTTGGGAAAACTCCTTACAAATAATACTAAAAGTGATGTGAATATTAATCATAAGTATAACGTCAATACGTCAAACGAAGATTTGGAGCACTTTGCTTTCGTTGACATTGAAGAGAAAATTTCTGCCACAACTGTAATTGTTAAAAAGCCTCACAAAACTAATGCTGTTGTGAACGATCATGAGTCTCACAAAAACGCAACAAATAACATTATAACTGAAGAAGGTGATCATTTTGATAAAAACATAAAATTCTTTTGCAGCGCATTTTATTGTTTATGATAAAATATGATGCGGTCCGCGGCAGCCGCACTGATAAGGGCGGGTAAGCGCTGTCATTGAGCTGCAAGCCTGAAGGCAACAAATGACCGACGAGGCAGTGAGCTGCTCTTGTACTTCAACATGACTAAAGATTCATGATTAGAATTGCTGAAAATACTTATAGCATATCTTTAAAAAAAAATAATGTTACTAATTTCATTTAAACAGTAAATAGTGTGTTCTATAATGTCGTAATGTGTATATTGTGTACTGCAGTGTTTATGTTTTGTGATGTGTTTTATCTTAATTACCGGTAAAAACAATATTTGTGTGAAATGTAACAACTTTTTGAATTGATCGATTGTATTTGTGATTTTAATTACTACACTAAAATTACCCACCAAACAATCTATATTTGGAATTAAAAATGGCACATACCATGGGCTAGTCAACATTAGAATATGCATGCAACACTCCAGTGATCAAAAAAGTGACTTATTATTAATATAACCAAAACTTTCCAAATTCGGAAAATTAAAAATTTTTCTATTGGTTTTATATTACTCATAAGCAAACGTAGTAACCTTAGAGCAATGGCCCCGTCTATATGCTAGAGTCACTCGCCAGTAACAGCCAAGTACTAGTACTCCTCAGCTTATCTTAATCTTATATGTGTTTGATTTTTACACAATTTGGGCTATAATAAATCTAAGTACCAGTCCTCCTTAAATGTTTATTATTTACAATAAAGTTTAAAAATGTTTACTGCAAAGAACCAATAATGTGAACTTTTATTCCAATGAATCTGGAATAAGAAAATTTATTCTCTAAAATATGAGAAAACACCATAATAAATGCATTTTAACTGTTACTGTTATTGTGAAGTGTGTCTATTCCGTCATCATTACAAACGGTAAACTTCTATTATGAGAGATTCCGTGGAAAAAAACCAATAACTCTTGGATTATTTGCTTTTAAAATTGTTTATCAACATTATTTATTTAAGACCATGAGATGGTCTTAAGCCATCTCAATAAATTTCCTTCACCTCATAACAATTATTAGTGGCAACTCAGCATAAAATTTGTGAAAATCTCTTGTTGTTATTGTTGTACTCCGCAGAGGTCTGCTTGTGTAGTGTAGTAACATTTGGGAGTGCTGAATGGCACTTGGTCATAGAGTTTGGCGAGTGGCTCCAACGAGGTTCTTGGAACCTCAATTCTTCTGTCAGTTCCCTGTAATGTGTTGCAATATATAAGTGTATTCATATCTTTAATGACTATGTGTGAGTAGTAAACAATAAACATATCTCCAAACATGACTAACTTAAGGTTTTCCAAAACAACGTAACGCTATTCTAACATATAAACTACAAGACGCCAACTCAAAAGCTGCACTCAAGAATATTAGAAATTATCAGAAATCAAGCCCAAATAAGCATTTCATCTACTTCAGTATAAAAACCAGTTCATCAATATTAATTCAGTTCATCAATATTAATTTTCCAAATTAAACAAGAAGTAAAGCAAGTAATAGAAGAAGATTGAAGCCAGGATTTCCTCTAACGTAATATAAATGTATAAATGTTAAATTCCTTTAAAATTTTTCTTTAAAGTTCTAAAAACCTCTATTTCAGTTATATAAACTTAAAATATTTCACATAGATACTAATATATTTTTATTGCAGATAAAAATAATACAAAAAAAAAGTCAACTGGTAAGGAAGTCAATAACAATTTGGTCAATTCAAAAATAAATTTATCATATACGGAACAACCTTTGCTGCTTCATACCTACACCTCAAACAATAATCAACCAAAGAATAAAAATGAATTCATAACACCTGGAAACTTCGCACAAAATATTACGCCTGAACAAACGTTCTATAAAAGCTCTATTGAAGGTTCAACAAGTTTGCCACAACAACAATACACTTCATCATATACATATAAACAAAACGAAGGAGTAGTAAATATATTGCCACAGGTGTTGCATAGATCAGTTGAAAATATACATAATAATAACAGCATAAAGCATCCACAATCCGTCATGAACTCCAGTCAAACAACTCAGGGAGCGCCAGGAAATCGGATAACATTTACAAGTCAAGCATTACCGAATGGTACTATAAATATAGGTGGTGGACATCCTGGTACAGGTTCAACAATCATATCCACTTCTCAACTGCCCAACACAACAACGATTAAGACAATAACATCTAGTGCGGCTGGAGCGCATCATCATGGTTTGCCACAACAAGTACAGGTACAACATCATCAGGTACTACAAACACCTCAACATCAGGGTCAAACGGGCCATACAACAGCCCAACAGCAACAGCATAATAATGCCCAATCAGTAGGTGCCACTCAGACACAAACTTTAGTTATAAAATCCAATCATGCAGTATCATTGCCAGCCGGTTTAGTCTCAAGTGCACCAGGAATAGTAACTATGACCAAAACCTTAAATCAGGTATTATTATGTAGGACGTCGTCGTCTTGTTTGCGCCTATATCTTATAAAACCTTTGTGGTTAAGAAAAGGCAGTAACTAGCATAAACTTCTTAATTTTCTTTTCAAAATCCGAAATTACAATTTTGTTTAGTTAAACTTTGTTAGTACAAAAAAAAAAAAAATTCGTAAACTTTTCCGTTGCGTCTTCTCTTATAGAAAATAAACTCATCTATGTAGTTTCATTTGTTTAAAAATTTGCTTCTAAATGTAATTTTTATTTTTTTATCTTTTAAAAAACAAAGAATTTCGGTCAATATTCAAACTAAATTATTACGCTTTAATATAATTTTCGCTGTTTTAGAAAAAGCATGTGTAGAGCCATTAGAAATTTCTAAGAAAATTTGTAAGCTTTAGTTTTTATAATTCTTAGATTTCTTCGTACACTGTTTTAAATCCCTTAAAATCTCCTCCTATTTGGTACCATAATCCATTCAATGCATTAAACACACAAACATGATGACCTAGCAATTCTATTTATATAGCAATTAGCATATAAGGTAGTTTTGTTGTTCTTTATTCTTAATCGACAGCAGTACATCTATGAAGTGTGAAAATTATAATACGGTTATCTCTTCATTTATCTAATGAAGTTTATTTTAAGGCAATACCTGCCATTTTGTTCGATAACCTTTGCATTTTTTCGATAATTTTCAAAACAACTTTCATGTTTTAAGCAAAAATTAAACCATATTTATTCTACGTTTTATTTCACATATTATAAATATACAACATTAAATTATATTCATGTTTTCCAGTGCACCGAAAAAAAATCGAAGTGACGAATGTGCTGGATTTACCGAAATCTCGTATAGATAACATATTGTTTTATGCCTTTTTGGAAAGACTTAACAGATTAAACACAGTTAGACATTTTTTCTTAGACCTTAGAACTATTTTAGAACGGTTGTTTAATTATAATCTACCAACAAATAACCAATTGATAGCTAGTTTCAGAATCATTCACACAATTTGCCATTGTATATTATTTCTTTCGTCCCTACTATATATAGAAATTCCTATTATGTAGGAATTGAACAGCAATGATTAAGATTTTTGTAAAATTATAACGTTTGTTTTCAACAGTGCAGGGCAAGTAGGTGTTATACGGAATTAGAGTACACTCCTATGGTTGATTTTGATCTTAAATTTTGATATTTTAGTATACTTACTTATATGACCATAATCTAATTTCGATCTGACCCCGTCTCGTACATTAAATTCGATTAGAGTTCCCTTAACTTGATTACCTACCAAGAACGCGACTTATACTCCTACATCTTTTTCCTCCAATTTCTGCTTTAAACTGCTTTTTCGCAGAAGCATTACCATCTTTTCTGATAACATAATCTAAATCCTTTTCCTCTAAGTGTTCCTTCAAATACCTTTTTCATTGTGCATTCTCATCCATTCTGACAACATGACATCGATGATCGTTGAATATTTATTCGTTAAACGATGTTAATTTCGTAAATGTATCTCAAACACTCTCAGTGCCGTTTTAGGTTAAACCTTTGTACTAAAAAGAAGCAGATGCTTCAGGTATGATAAGGCACCTATACAGCGTATGTTTTGTCGAGAGAGCTTTACATTCGAACTCCCTACTAAGCCTATAGTAGTAGTTATTAACAATAGTAATTTTTTGCCTAATTTCGAGGCTGAGATCGTTGTTATGAATTACCGATTCCTTTTTTCTATACTTTGTTAATTATTGTCTAGTATCAATACTTTTGTGATAATATCGATTCGAAATAAAAGCACGTTTCACTCTTGCTGCTTGAATAAACTACTGTCTATCCTTGTACAAAATTTCTGTTTATAATATTGCTCTTGGATATAACGTAGCACCTTTTACTCTTTTTTAAGTACTTTAATTCCATCGGTAAAAATGAGAAGACTATGATGACGTAGGCCTTTTTTATTTATTATTTTGACCCGATAATAAAAGTGCATATATGGATTCCCCCATACATAGCACCTTTCTCTATATTAATTCCATATTTTTCATAACCATATTCTCTGCTCAAATGATTTTTATGTCTTCACTTTTTAGTCTTTTGTTTTTTTTATAATAGTCGATAGAACAAATTTACACTGATATAGCAAAAATGGTCTTAAGTCATAAGGTCTCTTGTGTACTATACATATATAAGAAGTCACTTATAACAATCTATCATTACATCTACCTAACTACACTACTATTATGTTCTTTATTAATATTCATTTTTACTGTTTATTTCCTTATACTCATATGTATCTATACTATTAAGTTTAACAATGAGATTTAATCTTCAAACCAAATCTTAATATAATTTAGAGATTTATGTGTGCATGAATGTATTTCGTTTAAAAAATTATTTATGTACTAAGCTTTAGAAGGATTAATTTATATAATACAAAATAAATTATTTTGTTGTCATTTCTTTAATAAAATAAAATTTATTGATAATTATGAAGTAATGAACAGATGCATTAGTAAAAACAATTATAACTTAATTATCAAATTAATTAAGACATGAGTTTACTATAGTGAGATTTTAAATAATTAACTGTTTCATGTCCAGATTGAAATGGGAGAATTTCAAAAATATTTAAAATAGTACACAATATTAATTAATTAAATACAATTACTATTGTTTTAAAAATAATACACATCCTGTTTTATCCTTTATGAAATTAAAACAGCTAAAATTAAAAAAGTTTTTTATTTTTGCATTAAATGGAAGTGTTTGCCATTGACAACATTCGACATGAAAGGGTTAAATATTAAATTATCTTATAAAAAAAAACAAATAATATTCATTTCCTTATAAACTTTATGTTTTTAGTTTAGGAATTTCATAACAAAAATTCAAAATTTTAAAGGATTTTAACTTTATGTGCACTTTTGGCTTATCTCTAATTTTCTTCATATATATATTATATAAACTTTTTAAAATTAAAATAATAATTAATGTTTAAAATATTCATAAGCATAAACTGATTTTTCACAAGGCTTATAATGCATGCTGTTAAAAACTTCTCAATACCTAACAAATCATATAATTTAATTGCTTGAATCATTTACTAAATATGTGATCATATCAATTAAAGTGAATATATTTAATAAGATTTATTTAGACTTTTATATTAATCGCTCTAATCACTTAGGGAAATCAACCGATATTGAATTCAATGATTCCCGCCAATGTCGTCGTTGGGATGCGGCCATCAACAACGCCGCAACAGCAACAGAAAAATGTACAAGGCAATCCATTGGGGCGCGTGTTGATTAACGCGCCCCATATGGTAACAACAAGGCCACAAAATCCTGCGGTAAACATTCTTTTGTTTTTGTAACTATATAATATTTTAATATATAATTTTTAATATTGTAATGATGTAATAATACTTAATGGGTTACATATGTAAGACTAAAAGATTATTGCTAAATTTTGAATTTTATTTTCACGCAATTTTTTTTTTTTTAAAAATACATTTTTCTATTAAAGCAATGCTAATATAAGCTTTATGGTCAAAAACCTTATAAACACTTTTTTAATATATGTAAGTAACCCATTAATTTTATAATAACATGTATATTAATATTAATTACATATAATTAATTTCTTTTTGTTTTTTTTTGAAAAATATAAATATGCTTATATATAAATGATTTTGTAGATAACTTTAAGTACACTAAATCCCGGACAAACGCCTGCACTCATATTAAAAACTGAAAATGGATTTCAATTATTACGAGTAGGAACCGCCTCTGCCTCGGGTCCCGTGACACAAACAATTGGCACTAATTCCACAAATCCAACACAAATACGCTTGCAAACTGTGCCAGCTGCTGTAAGTAGAATCACAGGGCCATCTACAATAGCACTACGTAAAACGATTGTAAGATCATCCACTACCACCACAACCAACAATTCCACAACCACCCAGATTCATCAACAGAAACAGGCAATAACGACGAAACAGATTAAACAAAATGTAATTTTCAACTCAATTAATTTGTAATATACAAGCTTATCTTGTGTATTTTGCAAATTTTGAACAAAAAAAACCAATACTCAAGTACCAAATTTTTTTAATTCTTTTTACGCGTTCGTAATGATTGTTCTTATCTATACTATATATTTATATATACTTCTATATATATACTTATATGTATAATTTTTTAAATGTCTTTATTTACAACATATCAATCACTTTTAACTATCTATCAAGTATAAAATCTTTCGTGGGAACAAAATTTTTAACACTAAACATTTCGATATTTCAATTTAGAAATAATAATAATAATAAAACTTATCTAATTTATAATATATCAAAATCAAAATAGATATTTCCGTAATTTATGTTATAGAAAGATATATTAAAAAATATTATTTTCTATAATTCTAAGAATGATATTTGTCGTGAGTAGTTAGAATTACCATTTTTACCATGCAGTATAGATTTATTTAAACACTCTTAATTTATCGTAAAAAAAGAATTCAGTTTTGAAAAATTTGTAGTAAATATTGGGATTAATCATTTTGTATTCCAGAACTTTCATTTGATTAAAGTAATATTAGAGTTGTCTAATACTTTCTCTCATGAAGTTTACACTACACTCCATTTATATTGAACTATTTGTCATACAAACATATATAGTATATCTGTTTAGTTAGTCTAATATATTATATTATATATGTGAATCAAATAAGTTTAGATTATAGAAATCATCGCTGTTTAAATGAACGTTTTAATGATAAGCATTCATATACTAACATTTCATCAGTTTCACTTAAATGCTTTACTTATTCATATGATTCATCATGGTAATTACTTAAAAATATATATATAAAGATATATTTATAATATTCATTTAAATATTTGTTTTGATATTAATGAACATTACCATTTGATATAATTCATTTCTAATAAAATTCTGCATTTATACTCCCAAGATATTTGAAAGTATTTCATTAACATTTTCACTAATATACACAAATTTTTATTGACAGATCAAATTCGAATATGATTCGTATTTGCATTCGAAAATAAATATCATGGCAAAGTATAGCTTGTATAAACACCGATTGTGTAGTCAAGCAATCGATTGGTAAATTTCATTTGTGATAATAAATTAATATTAGTGTCTCAAACATTATTTAATTTTTTCGAATCTTCAAGCATTTTGATGTTCGAATATGATTGTGCTTGGCAATGTTCGAACAAGACAACATACATAAGCATTTACTGTTATACAGCTCAAACATTTTTGAACATTTAAGGTGTTCTCAAACCAAAATATTTGAATTCGAGTATATTTAAAACATTTCTAATGTGTTAAAATTCATGATCAGTATATTTATATTAAAATTACTCAAGTGATTTATTTCTTGAGATAGCTAAAACAAAGTAATATATTTATATATTTGTTTCAATACACTATCCAACCTTATTGTTTTTTAATAATACCAATAATTTCTTTAGATGAAAAAATGCCAACCGCAAACATCTTAAAAGACTCCATTAAGAGGGTAATTCTAATATCTCTATATTTTTATAGTTTCCGTTCATATATGAGCTCAAAATGGGAACTTTTTTCCTTCCACTGGAGCACACCAAATGGAGTCAAGAAATGAATCCTGAATCTTTTTCAATTCATCTGCAATTGATTTGAAGATTCCGTTCTGCAAGTATCAGTGAGGCAACATAATAAATTGTTTGAATAAACAAATCCTTTCTGTACTCAAGAAAGCTCACTTGAGCTCAAATAATGGCCCATAGTGGTACCACAGGAAAAGCGTTGGTACGTACATAGACTGATCGATTAGGTAAAGGTAAACTAATCTGACAGTTCTATAAATTTGGCTAAGTCCCTAATATTACAGGATGACAGCTCGGTCAGGTCGGTAAACTAAAGAAGTGCACTGACACATGAGATGGAGCATAGTCTCTTCATCCTCAGAACCACTGCCGCGAGATAAGTCATTATAGGGTAGATCTAGTCTCATGGCATACTTTCCTATTCCACAGGGGCACAAATACCGTGATGCTGAGTATATTCCGCCTTTGTTGAAGTAGCTGACTAGCGGGTTTTTTTTGTCCACATTAGACCAAGCCAACCTAGATATCTGACAATAGAATTCGTCAGCCCAGTATTGCTTGGCTATGCTCAGGTATTTTTGTTTGATTGTCAGTTTAACTGTAGCAAGTGGAACGCCTATGTATGAGATGTAAATGCCATGAATAAGAGTGGCTGCTTTGGCAAGATAGTCTTTTCACGAGCGTATGCGTTTACGTTATGCGTACAACATATATATTTCAGTAAATTATAATTAACAATAAATGAGATAATGTTATGTTGCATATAACTTATTAGGTTAACATGTGTATATGTATGCTTATGTATTTATAAAAAAATTCATTTGAAACAAAATATGTGCTTGCTTATATTCTCACCCATCTTAAAATGTTCTAAAGCGTACCTTAGAAATTCACATAATCATGTTTTGATAAAATATTTAATTATAATTTATATTTATAACTTAGAACAAAATTAATAATTCCCTGAATTATATTATTCAATCACATAATATCGAATGGACAACAGTTTTCTTATTAATTTAATATTTAGTTACTTTTTTTCCATAAGAAAACCTGTAATTTTTTTTTATTCTCTGAAAAACATGACTCCTCAACAGTTTCCATCAACGTTTCAGAATTATAATTTTAATTATATAAGAAATATCTATAAATTTTTTAAATACTGTATTTGAAGATTAGTATATATATGCATAGATTAGTACAGTATAGTATATACTATATATAATATATACTAATGCTATATATATATATATATATAATATATATATATATATATATATGTATATATATATATATATATATGTATATATTAGTATAGTATATATATATATAGTATATATATATATAGTATATATATATATATAGTATATATATATATAGTATATTATATATAGTATATATATATATAGTATATATATTATATATATATTATATATATATATATATATAGTATATATATATATAGTATATATATATAGTAATATATATATATATATATATATACTATATATGTATATAGTATATACTATGTATATAATATATTCTATATATATAATATATACTATATATATAATATATACTATACATATAATATATACTATACATATAATATATACAATATGTACTATTGTATATATATACATAGCATATACAATATTTTGATTCAATTTTAAAATATTTCTGGTTCCCTCGATGATTTTATAACTTAAAAGAAAAGTTAACGTTAAAGAAATAAAACAATATTTATTTTAAAATAAAGATTTATTCTCTTATCGGAAGAAGTTTTTCTAGTATTCCTTCATCCAATTATGGATATTTTCTATCTTGTGTTCTTTATGTTTTTTTTTGTTTACTGTTATTGCATGAGCAAGTAATATTCTTCAGTATAATTTTATTAAATTGATTGATTAAAAAAGTGTTTAGTATTGAAAAGTATTAGGAATTTACTTGGCAATTGTAATTATAAAAATAATATAAATATAAATATAATTCCATATTATATTTTAAATTAATACAGTTGAAGTATTCAGCTTAAATTTTCTGTTGAAAACAGTTTTACGTGTATATTTTCAGTTACATTTTGATTTACTGTTTCTTAAGGATGCCTTGAATATTTCTACGGCACTTCATATAAATTATGAAAAAAAAGTTGTTAAATAAATGTGTCTTTTTTTTATTAGTAGACATAGTTTGTTGTGTTGTATGAATGTGTAGTTTAATAATTTTATAAGTAAAATCTTACATTTGTTTTGCTTAAAAATAATATTCCAATATATAAATTAAATTTAAAATTGTCATATATAATTAATTAAAAAATTTAATTTAATATATGGAATATTATTCACACAATATGTGCTTTATAAAATAATTTCTTTTTTAATATTTATTATTTTGTAGTATAAAATATTTGCTTTTTTAAATGTCATTAGTTTCGGAGTATTTTTTTTGTTGTTTCTCTTTAACTTAAACAATGTGTGTTCTTAAATATTTGGTTAGTCTATGTCATCTACTGCAACCTCAAATAATCTTGTTGTAAATTCCGTTTCAACAACAAATTCTACGCCGCATATATATACTTCACAAGCGAATATATCCTTACAGCAACAACAGTCATCAGTTACGACCAGTATACAGCATCTGCAACAACAACAAATTCACCAACAAACACAGCATTTGCATGCGCAACCACAAATAACGCAGGTCCAAACAATACCACCGCAACAACCACATCAGCAACAACACACGAATACAACAAATGCTCACAACAGCAACAGCAATAGCAACCTGAGTGCAGTGAGTGCCGCAAATGTGACGTCATCGACCACAGTTTCAGCAACGCAAAATACAGCAGCGCAAGGTAATACCAAAGAAAAATGTCGCAAATTTTTAGCAAATTTAATAGACTTGTCGACGCGCGAACCGAAACCTGTGGAGAAGAATGTCCGAAATCTTATACAGGAGCTGGTGAATGCAAATGTGGAACCGGAAGAATTTTGTGATCGACTGGAACGTCTATTGAATGCAAGTCCGCAACCATGTTTAATTGGCTTTCTAAAGGTTAGTTCAAATTTTTATGATTTTACATTGAATATTATTTGTAATTATATTTTGGCACACAAATTTTCTTGATGATTATAGTATAAACTATAGCATCCTCATAATGAGGAAATTGCATTATTTATTATAAATATTTTACACGTCAGTCCATAATAAACTTCAAGTCAACTTTAAACATTATTCATTAAAATCTCTCTTAAAAATGTCCCTTATTCATCATAATGGCTACAGAACCTTAAAAAACAAGATAGAGAAAAAAAATCAGCATAGTTAACAAAAAAAATGTCTTTTAAAAGAGCAGATTCTTAGTCAACCATATATTCTCTACTTGATGAACATCTAAATTAGCTGTAGAATGTCTCTTTAAAGCATAGTCTAGTCGAATACAGAAACTGAACTCAAACAAGATCTTAATCAGATGCAAAACCTCTACTTAAAGAACATTTTTGTCAGCAACAGAACCTCTCCTTAAAGATCATCACAGTCAACGAAAGAATGCCTCTTTGAATATCAGAACTTTAGTCGGCTGTAGGTATATCGTCTACTTATAAAACATTTAAGTCGGTTGCAGGATTAATTAATAAGGTAAAATAAACTACAGCTATAACTTCTTCTTTAGCTACAGAACCTATATTTCAAAAATAATAATGTCAGCTCCAATGCCGCTTCTAAAAGAGCATCTTAGTCAGTTACAGAAATTTTCTTTAAAGAACATACAAATCCACGACAGAATACCTACAGTGTTGTGCATAACAAAAGCAACCAAAATTTGCCCATCAAATAAATAAGTTTTTTGTCTACTTTTTACTTTTCATTCAAAAATCTAAATACACAGTTTTATTTGTTATTCTATTAGCTATTATAAAAAAACAACAAAATCTACAATTCTAAATAATGGGTTAATTAATTCACACAAATAATAAAATATTGCGAAATGCGGCTGTGCAAAACAATAGCAACTGAGACAAGATCAATGATAGATCTATGACCAAAGTGCATTCTAGCAAGATATTTTTTTGATTTTTTGCATTTTTATGCTGTGATTTATGTTTTTAAGCAAATTAGAACATAAACACAGAATAGTTCAATATTAAATCAGGTAATGGAAGTACGTTTTTATCATGGCTCGTGACGCGTATACTTTGAAGTTTAAAGAAGCAAGAATTAAAAAATATTTAAATAGCAGTGCTCAAATGAAATAGCCAAAATATTTAAAATTAATTAGTTTATTGTTTCGCAGCTTATAAAAAAATATAATTTGACAAAATACCGTTAAAACTGTTTATTTGGGTGAAGCCTCTCTTAAGATTACTTGTAGAATTGATCGAAACATCATAAGAATTACAAAAAAAACAACCATTCGTGTCGTTGAAAAAGGTCGTAGCCAAGCTTAAAAAAGGTGTTGACTCTAGTACTGTACGCAGGCTTACTCTCGAAGCCGGTTTCAAAAGTTACAGACCAGTCAAAAAACCAATGTTGACTAAAAAGCAAAAGAGGTAGATTTTTGTTTTGCTTTTTAATTAATATTAATATACTTCATTTAGATCAAATTTGTTTGGATTCACTTAAATTAGACTCTTACTAAATGGAAAATAATTTTTTTCAGCAATGAATCAAAATTTAACATCTTTAATTCTGATGGGATGTGCACAGTACGTCGCGAAAAAGAAAAACGTTTGTATTCGCGTAACTGCCAAGCGACTGTGAAGCATGGGCGTGGGTCAGTAATAATTTGAGCGTTCTTTTCAGGATTTAGACTAAGATCTTTTCATGAAATTCATCAAATAATAGCCCAACATGTGTACAAAAAAATTTTAGAAAGCCATATGGTACCCCATGGCGGATGAGAAATGTCACTCCGACGGGTATATCAGTACGATAACGACCCAAAACACACCTTAAAGCTGATAAGAGAATAGATTTTGAAAAATGGAATTCCAATTTTAGATTAGCCAGCCCAAACACCTGATTTTAATTCAATTGAGAACATTTTGGTATTCTCAAACGTCGCTTTGGGGGTCGAAAAGTTTCCAAATGTTTGAGGTCATAAAAGATGAATGGTGTAAAATTCCAAATAGTTTTATTAACAATTTAATATCACCTATGACCCGTAGAAGTGCCCAAGTAATAAAAAGAAAAGGACTTTATACAAAATTTAGAAAAATAATACAAAAATTTAATATAATAAATAAAGTTGCTATTGTTCTGCACAGCCGCATTTCGCAATATCTCATTATTTTTGTGAATTATTTAACCCATTATTTAGAATTGTAGATTTTGTTGTTTTTTTATAATAGCTAATAGAATAACAAATAAAACTGTGTATTTAAGTTTTTGAATGAAAAGTAAAAAGTAGACAAAAAACTTATTTATTTGATGGGCAAATTTTGGTTGCTTTTGTTATGCACAACACTGTACTTAAAGAGCAGAACCCTAGTCTCAGCTAATATAACCTTTCTTTAAAAAAGCAATTAAGTCAAATGCAGAACCTCTCCTTAAGCAGTATCTTAGCTAAAGAACCTCTAATTAAAGAGCGTGCTAGTCAACTGCAAAATATATTCCTACAGAGCATTTAGTCTACGATAAACTGTCTTCTTAAACAGTATTTCTAGAACTTCTACTTCTACTTCTTTATGTTTATTGTTATTATTATTATTATCAATGATCTTTATTTATACATATTTAAATCTAATTGTCCGTATGTATGTGATTAAAGCTGCCTATGATTGATCCGAAAATATGCGCTGGTATTTTTTGGACATCCCACTAATATTATTGTTGATGTGCGATAATTAAAAACTAATTGTTTAATGATGAAAAATTATATTTAATAAAATAAAATATAGAATGCCGAGCTTTCATAGCTCATAACTCCCATAACAGTTTTTTTTTATTATCACCTATTAGTACAAATAATTCTATCTAAACAATATAAATTGGTATATATATCACAATTATTAATCATTCATATTATTATTATTATTTTAGAAAAGTCTCCCGCTCCTGAGACAAGCCTTATTTTCAAAAGAACTGGTTATCGAAGGAATCAAGCCCCCACCACAGCATGTGCTAGGTGCAGTAAACCCTTTGCAGCAATTACCGGTACTATTCTTAGAATTAAAATCATTAGTAATAGTTAATAAACTCCTCAATTTCACTTTAGAAAATACAAGCGCAGATACGTCCCATAAGTCAAGCTCAGACAACAACTATTGGACAAACACAAGTAAGAATGATTTCACCGGCTGGAGTACCGCCTAGACCGATTGGTCACACTACAATAACTAAACAATCAACTGTACGTATACAAAGTAACGCAACGGGGCCGCGTTTAGTCAATACTCAAATACGTGGTGCGTTACCAGGAACTATACAACAACAATTGCCTGCTTCACCACAATTACATACAGGACCAACACAAACAGTAAACTATTTAAATAAACATTTTAGAATTTATTTATTAATATAATTTTATATAATACAGAGTATTGTGCAAATACGTGGTCCAACAACAAATCAAATTACGCGTCCTGCAACTGTACAAATTAGAGCAACAAAACCTAAAAATGCTACGGCCAATTTAACGCATGTAAAAGTTGGGCAGACCCAAATCAAAGCTATTTCATCAAGTTCTCCCGCCGTCATTACAACGAATCAACCCCCCTCACTTGTAGCAATTTCCAATAATATATCACATGTGTCTATGCCTTCATCGGTTTCATCAACTATACTCTCAACAATTAATTCTGTAGCAAATAATACAATGCCACCTTACGTTATTAGTGGGAACTCATTGCCAATACCATCTTTACCCACAGTCCAATTGCCACCTGGTATTAGTAATTCGCTGGAATCTAGACCAGATCTTAAACTGGACATTAAAATTGAAAAGAGCATGCCCACCATACCCGTTGCAAGCAAAACAGTTAATAAAGCAGCATCTTCAACAACTAGTAAAGCAGCAAGTAAAAAGAAGAAAGAACTGTTAGATAAGGAAAAAGATGATAAATCTGCCAATTCTGGTTTAGTTTCAACAGTGGCACATTCGTCGTTTTTTCAACAACCATCAATATCCATGTCATCCACATTATATGGAGAGGATGATATAAATGATGTAGCTGCTATGGGTGGTGTAAATTTGGCTGAAGAATCCCAACGTATACTGGGTTGTACTGAAAATATTGGTACACAAATACGTTCATGTAAAGATGAAGTATTTTTACATTTGCCTGCGCTACAAGCACGTTTACGTGCAAGATCATTAGATTTAGGTTTAGAAGAGTCATCGCAAGAAGTAGCGGTGCTTCTATCACATGCGCTGCAAGAGCGCTTAAAAAATATTATCGAAAAACTTACTGTGATAACGGAGCACCGTATTGAATCTTTAAAGGTTGTTCAATTTGCATTTGCCTAATATTTATAAGAAAAATATGTTATAATTATAATATGTGGTTTTTAGATGGATCCTCGTTTCGAAGTTTCGAAAGATGTGCGAGCTCAACTTAAATTTTTAGAAGAACTCGATAAAGCAGAGCAAAAAAGACGCGAAGAATTAGAGCGTGAAATGTTATTACGTGCGGCAAAATCAAGATCAAAAGTTGAAGATCCCGAACAAGCAAAAATGAAAGCAAGAGTATGAAGCAAAAATTCTCTTTGTTGTAAAAAAAAAGAATTACATATTATTTCTTCTTTAGGCGAAAGAAATGCAGCGTGCTGAAATGGAGGAACTGCGTCAAAGAGACGCAAATATGACTGCCTTACAAGCCATTGGTCCACGTAAAAAACTGAAACTGGACGGTGACAGCATAGGAACCAATGTGGTAAGCTAATATTATACTATATACATATACAATATGAAATCCAAAAAGTAATGTTACACAAAGTAGAAAACAAAAAACGCTTGACATGATTTACTAAACTATATTTGTTAGTCATATATTGAAAATTTCAATTCATATTAATCACTAAGTAAATCCTTTAACTCCACGCAATTAGTGTGAGAAATTAGGGAGTAGAGGTGAGTTGGGGATGGGTGGGGTTTAAACTGAAAGCAACCCGTGTCCAGAGAATAGAAACCTGCCCTCTTCAATTCGATGGCTTACTCTTTAGTCTTCCTAAGAACTGTTAGTCAGGTGCCTGCTGAGAACCTTATTTTGGGTAAACTTTGATTTCAAATAGTGTACTACATCTGTGTGGTAGGCTGTAAGTTCACGTTTAGCATATATCATAGTGCCTGCTAGCAGTACTTAAAATGCGAAATAATAAAAACGTGACTAACTAATAGAAGTATAGGCTTCCAGATCATTGTAATGTTTTTTAGGCAGAAGTGAGACCATAAAAGAAGCTTTAGCTTGTCTAGAAGTAAATAATAATTAATGTATTCCTATGCATACTATCGGATAGTCAAACTGCTTTAAACTCCTTGAGTTCAGTTCAATTTAAATCTAGGACAGTCTTTAAGTCTAAATAAGTTGTCGACGCAGTTCAATACTTTTTTAATATGGGTTCCCGGGCATAGGGATATTTTCGGCAATTTCAAAGCAGACGAGCTAACGAGAAGGGGTGCTTCAGGAAAGCACTCGAAACACCTAAATAATCTAGGCATATCGTTGGCATTATGCAAATTGGCACTGAATTCTTCATTTGCCGAAATCAAACTCTCTCATCGAGATATCCCATTAAGATACCAGTCTTACAATAAGTTGACATACAGGTCATTGAATTCTAGGTAACCATGCTAGGAGGAAGACTAAATCTCTCTTTCAACCATATCTGTTGCAGTTGTGGTGAGGACGATAAAGTGCCTCCCACCTGCTTTGCTTCTGTCCGAAACATGTGCTGCGACGCTTTAACACTTTAAGGGATTTCTTTTTTGAGGATTTTAACGAACTTCAGGACCTTCCTCTGAATAGCATCAGAAGCTTTGCCAAAGGTTCTAAATGGTTTTAACTCTTGGGTTTTTAATAAAACGGTAGCACAATGGATTTATATGGGTCAATTTTTAAGGAAACTAGGTGGTTCGCTTATTAGCCAACTTCTACTATCTGACGAGAATTATCTTTAAGAAATTTGAGTTAAAATAAAAAAATTAAATTCATTTAAATTTCAATTTGCTTTCTTTATTGCTGTTACTATTTGAATAAAGTACTTTTTCCAATTATAAAGAAAATAGGTAGTTTGCCTTATCCACTCTCCAACGAGAGTGATATTAGATCATTACTAACAAATAGCGCTGGCAGTCAACACTTTGTGTTTTAATTACTTACACTTTATTGCATCATTTATTAGAGCCAAATATATATTAATTGACAATATTTGCTGATTCTCATTTCTTATGCTCTTAAAAATATTTTATATTTACTACTCGATTTTATTTTTAAATTTTTATGTATTTTGTTTTTGTTGCCCGCGCGAATGCACTGAACGCAGATTTTTGTTTATGCAGATAGTCATTCCTGAGAATTCTTTCAATGTCGTATCTTATTACATATACATTATTTCTTGTTCATGTTTTTCTATATATTTTATACAAATACAATATATAATTATGTATAACAATAAAACATTTCTATTTAAATTTAATTACAGGGCACTGGTGCAAATGGTGGACTCGGTACAACAGGCAATACGTCAGCTCCACTCAGACCACGTATCAAACGCGTGAATGCACGTGATATGCTATTCTTCTTAGAATCTGAACGCGACACAATTCGAAGTGAAATGCTGTATAAGTTATATTTAAAATGATCAACTATAAATAACACCTACTAATGCTAATGGATGTTTCATCAATTGACATGTTTTCCTTGATTTTTTTTTTTTTTTTGACCTAACATTGTTGACTTCAAAATTTAAGAGACTTTCCAAACAAAAAAAAAGATCTTTTGCAATATTATGTTCGCTAGTTTAAGTTTCTTTCTAACAAGCATTGATACGAGCTAATATAGCATCAATGGAACAAATAAAAAATATTCTTTTCTGTACAGTAATAATAGTAATATTAAATCATTATACATACATACGTGCTTGAAATTCAATATCGTAATGCGTAATGCATATACATATTTTGATTTTTATTTATTACATTTGATTAAATTAAAATATGTGTGAATAAATATTATTATATAAAATATGGCCTTATAAATTTAGATTTAATGTAAAAAATATGTATATTTTTTTGTTTCGTAATACTTGAAAAAAAAAATAATTTTATGTTAATACGGATTTTGTAATAAGTATGGCTTAAAATTTACTTGACCACATTTTAATTCGCTTACGATTTTGTTTTGATAAAAAAAATAATTATGTTTCAAATTCATGAATTTTAAGTTTTTATACGGTTTTAAACCAGAATAATTAAAAAAAAATTAGCTCTTAAGTAGACTATTGTTATTAAATTTGTATGTCAAAAATTACATTTTTAAGTAGAAAAATAAAATCCAAAAAAGAATTCTGTTCAAGAAAGTAAAAAAATATTGACAAAAATATTCAAAACAGTAGTTTTAAGCTTAAAATCATATGTAACCCAATAATACGATATACGTAATTAAGTAACTAAAAAATTAATTTGATTAGAACAGTTCAGATTTGAGTACGCAAAGAGCACTATTATTTAAAAATGAATAATTTCTTTATAAATTAATTTAGATTTAAGAATTATTATTTATGAACATTTTTAATTCCCGAAAGAATATAAAAAAAACAAACAAATAACAACAATAAAGTAAAACTATTGCATGTAATTTATGTTTATAACAATAATTAATTTTGGTATTAAATATTTTTTTTAAATTAAGTTACATTCTGGTTTTAATGTTTATATTGAAACAAATTATTATTAGTAATTGACTTTATTTTGAAATTTTTATACAACAATTTGTATAATAGTTTTCGCTAATTTTAATTGTAAGTTAATATGAATTTTTTTTTTACAATATATGTTCTAGCTTGGCGCGAACTTTTAACAAATATTTTGTTTAGTAGAACAAAATTTTAATTAATTTAATTTTTTCAGATTTATTAAGCGAAAACTACTGTATAATAAATCATGTAAAATCGCATAATAGTAAAAGAAAATAAAAATTAAAAACAAAAGAAAATAATATCAGTCAAACCAAGTGTAAAAATCAATTATAATTACTCTAAATTAAACTAATGTAGATATATAAGCTAAACTTTGAATAATTTTTATTATAAAATTAATTTAATTTAGAAGAAAAACAATTTTAAAAATATTTAAGTTACCAAGAAAGAATGTGAAAGTGAAAATAAAGAAGAAAATAAAATAAAACTTTTCAAATAAAAATGTTTTAAATAAAAGCTTAATGAACCAAAAGTAAATAAAATTACATTTTATTAACATTTGATTAAATTTATAAAAAAAAAAAGTAAATTATATATATTTATTACTATTTTTGATTTCGTTGTACGAAGTATCTCAGTTAATAGTAAAAAATTTTTAATTATTTTTATTAATTTTATTTATGGTAAATATATAATATATTTTTAATAATAATTTATTAATTTTCTCTTTCTGTTTTGAATGTGTTATAAGGTGTTTAATTATTATTAATTTGCTTTGAGGTTTTTTATTTTGGTTTTATGTTCATTATTCCTTTTTTTTATGTTCATTATTTCTTTTTTTTTTATGTTCATTATTTCTTTTTTTTTTATGTTCATTATTTCTTTTTTTTTTATGTTCATTATTTCTTTTTTTTTATGTTCATTATTTCTTTTTTTTTTATGTTCATTATTTTATTGCTTTATGTCATTATTTTATATTTTATGTTATTTTTGTTTAAATATTTTCGTAGAATCTATTAAAGCATATATTCATAACGCAAATTATCCTTTACTGATAATAGCGACGAAAACTTAGCTCTTATTAAAAAAGTATTGATTAGTGGAAATTTACCGTCGTGTCTGTGGGTTAACATAAAAATAGGAAAGAATTATTCAGCTGGTTTGTTATTGCCCTGATAGAAGATGCAGGCCTATCTCAATTATGTGCGATATAATACTAGTATGTCATACCAGGTTTATTAAATCGAAAAAGTTTCTTAGAATAGTTTATCTTTTTTACTTAAGTTTCTTAGAACAGTTTCCCTGCCCTTTTGAATTGTAGTATTACAGTGGTTTTAATTTCAGAGCGCAAATGAATCGGTTTTTTCGTGAGACGGTTTGTCACTTGCATCTACGTCACATAATTAATGGATTCACTGAACAAGAATAATAATTATACAGAATATATTTTATAAGTTTGTATATATAAGTTAAGAAGTAATGAATATAAGAAATTGGAAATGAAAAGCAAAAAACAGAGAAGAATGGAAGACTGTTGTTAAACAGGCTTAGGTCCTAAATTGTGAAAATTTTTAGAATAAAAAAATTTTTAGTAGGTATAGTTGTCAGTGCAATCAATATATAACTTTAAAATCTAGTATCGCAAAAATTTAACTTTCTCTTAGCATAGGATGTAGTGGAGAAAGTTTAGAATATTGAGATTGTTCAAAATCCAATATAAAATTAAGGATGTAGGATTTTCCTTGACTTTGTACATAAATGTGGGCCGACAGGCTTTTGGTTTAGGCTTTTATAATACTCGTATGGGTATATATGTTGACTTAGATGTTATACGTTAATGTTTCGTTTATAAATTTTAAATTGTCGGTATAAGTTGCTTCGTTGACTAGTCGGATTTTTGTTCTCATTATTCGTATCAAAAATTTGTATTGTTTTGTTTTTGATTTGCTTTTTAATTCTATTTGAAATCTCTATGTTTGCTAATATGCCATCGAGTTTTAACTATTCTATTGTATTTGGAATATTTGATTTTTAGTGACAGTAAATTTGTCAACCTTATACTATATGTCAGACATCTGTTCATAATATATGGTTTAATGATTATTTGTAGATGAGTATTGGTACGAAGAGCACTAAATAAAGATTTTACATAGCCGGTAGAGAAGATTTGTTTGCTTTTGTGAGACCTTTTATTTTTTCTTCTAAATGTTGAACTCTTTTGAAAATCCACGTTTACATGGTTTATAGGAAAGACTGGTTTTTGTTTGTAGACTTTTTTATTTTATTTGTGAATATTGACACTTGGAAGGTACTGTACAGACACTTGGAAGGTACTTTAACGTTTCTAAATGTGCCTTCCACACGAAATTATATCAAAAGTGCGATACATGATGTATTCCAAATTTAGTGTACAATAATTGATGGAAGAACTTACATGGTTCATAGCTAAGACTTGTCTCTGTTCAGTTGACTTCTTCTCTTGTGAATGTTGAACAGTAGTTCTTATAAACTCACATCATTTAATTTAATATATTTAAAACTATAATTGATATAGTAATAAAATTGGTATAATAATTGATATCAGCAGCTATGGACTCGATAACTGTATAACTCAGTTCAGTCACAGAAGTGGATTGAGAATAATATTTCTGTTAGTTGGTTAATAAGTTCACTATTCAAAACTAAGAGAACTATAATTGGTTCTAATTGGTTCCATCGAATTGGGATTATATAGGTTATGAATTAAAATTAAAATGATTTTTCAAACGATCTGATTGATAGACTGAAGTTTATTCAAATATTAATTAAATTAAATTTAGTTAAATAAATAGACAACAATATATTTCAGTAAGCACAATAAATACTTTATTTCATTTTAATATTATTTATACTACAATTCGACAATTATTTTATTCTAAAATGCTCAACATAATGTATAACAACTTACGTTAAATAAATAAATATAAATGTTTATTATTTTGATTTTTTTATTATAAAAAATGCATTGAAACCTACAAATTAACAAAATATTTTATAATTTTATAATATTTTTCTTTTAATTTATTTTTTAAATTTTATCTCACAATTTTAATAAATTGAAATATTTAAATTTGCTTGTCTTGTATTAATTTAATTATTTTTTATTTGCTGGCTTAATACTAAACTAATTTCATACACTCTAAATTATTGTACACGTTATGTATATGTCTTTTTTCAATAATTTATTTTTTCTCTATACTTATATAAATATTTTAATAAAAGCGCTAAATTCGAATTTGCTTAAAAAATATGCCTTCAATAAACTATAAAATTTTATGCTAAATCTTTGCAAATATTTCGTTGTCACATGGAAACGGAAGTTGCTTTATGCCAAAGGACTTTCATTGAATTTTCATTTTGATTTTCCATAAAAAAGTGAATCAGAAGCGAATTGATATTGTTTCTAATGTCTCTATGGATGTTTCGTTATGTTGCAGAAGCTCTATCCTTTATGCTGATATTGTGGCTAAATCATCGGCTACACCTTCTTCCTCAATCAACATTTTAAAATATTCGTTCACATCATATCCATATAATTCGAAATCATACCTAAAAGTGGAAGTTCAAAGATTAAATGGTGATGAGTTCAAAATTATTATTCGATCTATGCTTACTTGTAGTATGAATATAGTCCTTCCAATTCCTTTCTAGTTAATTGAGAGTAGAATGTTTTTAGTAGTTCAAGTGTATTTTTACCTTTACCCATATTTCGCCATTCTGGCGCTATAACACGTTTTAAACCAGTCTTTTCGATAAGATATAATTGATCCTGCTCTAGCGATTCGAATTTTAAAATAATATCAAAATTTATTAAACAAGGCGTGCAAAATTTTGTCGTAGATACAAAATGCATATCTATAAAGTTGCCATATCTAACTTGATCCAGGAACCAACGCACAAATTCAGGGAATGTAGGGTGTTTAGGCCCGATATGAACATTTTTTTGCTAAAAATAGAAAAAAAATGTAAATTAATTTAATGTAATTAATCAAAAAAAATATAAAAAATGCTATATATAGAATACATGTGGTTTTTTTATATTATTTTTTAAAACACATGCTAAACGGAAGTACTTCCGTTTGAAAAATGAAGATATAGATTAGCAAGTATTCACTTTATGCCGGCTAAGTCTCTTATCTAACATAATGGTACCAAGTGAGGAGGAAAGTTATTCACACAAATCTTTTTTACAGTGTATTATCTGTAGATTTTATTGTGAAGGGATAACGCTACTCCACGCCTCTGACAACACTACTGCTCCTATAAAATTTTATTGTTCTATCTTTCAGATAATATTTGAGTTTATTTTGACACATCATTACATATATACATATATATATCCACCACATCATTACATAGTTGAGGCAAAGTTTTTAACAATTTTACTTTACTTAACTGCAAATGCAATAGTGTTGTCAACGTACTGACATGGGTTCCCATAATGTACACTAATGAAAACACATACCAATCTATGTCGGAATTTAAGTTTCTTTTGTGTAATGAAAGGGTAGTTTTAGTATTGCACTATAGTAATAAAAGCTGGTTTATAATAGCTAAACTTAGACAATATAAAACATTCATTTATAAGAGTCTATTAAATATTCAAAATAATTATAGATAATCTTCAAAATTATCGTCTTCAGGTGCAAACATTCCTAATTCGATACGTTCTGTATTTCGACTAAAATTTTTCATTACTTCGCTTATTTTGGAAGTTGAAAGTCCCACCACTTTAATCTAAGGTGGAGCTATAGTTAAAAGCACGACAATCTCTTTTCTAATTTAAGCTCTTATCCATATCATTATTCTGTTTTGGTTTGCTTATTTATTTATAAAAGTATAAGTGTTCCTTATGGGGTCACCATTGCATATATATGTTATGTTATGTTATTATATTCCACAATAGTCTGGACATATGCTATGTGCTACAAATCTTAACATCATAACATAATCTTAATAATGATTTGATTTTGTTTTGGGTGGTGATGAGATGAGTTTAGTTCTATATTATATGGCTCTGAAATACACTTTGTATAACTAAGGCCAGGTACAATATTCAGTAATCATCCACAGGTATCTACGTCAGATTCGCGGTGTATAGTGAGGAAAATTTTCATTAACAATGAGTGTTTGTGAACTACAATTGCACAGAAATGAACTGAGTAATCTGACTGAGTGATCTATTAGATGATCATACTTTTGATTAGGATACACAATAAGAAGGGCAGTTGGTTGGAGCAGGAAATAAATATGACTTCATACATTGCACTTGAGTGGAACAAAGGAAAAACTTTAAACTAATGAATAAAATGATATGGATTATTATAATATAGACGTGACATTTGAATACAAACACTAAGAGAATGAGAAACCGGGAACGACTAATAGTCATATTAGTAGTCATAGTCAAAAAAGAACGATCAATAGAATAAAGATCTTAACAAATTATATCAATTAAGATAACGGGTATGATTATATGCTTAGTATTTGAATGGATTTACTTAGAGGATGAGAAAACGGGCACCAATTTAAGTTATACGGAGAAGAACGATCAGAAGAGAAATCAAATAAAAATTATCATAAAACAAATAACTATAATATCTGTCAACATGCTTTAATAAAGGTAACAAAAAGTAAGATTCTGTGATCCCTAGTTATATACCAACAAATAATTATTAGTAGCACATCTCTAGTTTATATATATCTGAGGATTGCGTGCCTACAAGTTTTTGCAAAATTCTTAATATTAATATATGACGTCACTGTATTAAATGAACTGTATTAACTATATTTAATATGCTTGTAATAGATGACTTATTGTAGTTATTTGAAATGAAATTACTTAAAAATTAAATTCATTTTTAATGATTATTTAATATAACCAATCAAATTAATTTTCACACTGTTTTGTATGAAACATGATACTTCTATGCAGCCGGACAAGCAATGCAAATTATTTCATTTCTATCTCACAAAAACTTTTAATTTATTTTTATACAGTAATTTACTGAAACCACAAACAAGTAAGTTTTATATAAAAAGATTGTATCTTATAGATAAAACTATTTACGTACCTTTTTTCTGTAAGCTCTCACTATTTTGCGGCCCAGTTTATCATGAAAAGAATGCGGAATGGCGAATACAAATTTATCTCGATAAGCGCTCAAGAGCCGCTCGAAAGGATGGCGAGCGATTATGAAAGTGATTGAGCCATTTTGTGCTTCTCGTAGCTGAAAAGATACAATCATAAGAAAAGTTAATGAAATCTTTTTAATATATGCAACAATATTCAAGAAATGATTAATGGCTCAAAGAATGGCTCAAAATTCCATTTTCAAACTATTTTTAAAATAACATCCAAATCAAAATGACTCACTTAAAAATGGGTTCATTGTTACGTGAAAGATTTGATAAAATCTAAAAAAAAATTTTACATTAGATAAAAATATAATAAGATTAAGTATCATAGTGTGTTAAATCGTTTTTTGAAGTGTGCTGGTAATCATATTTCTCTCACCCTGTATATAACAGTACTCATTAAACACTTAAACACATAAACAATAAGCGGATTCTCAATTCACATTTTCAAGCGTTATAGAGTGCTAGATTTGGTTAGTGTCTAAAATGAAAAGAAATCGAAGAAAGGGAACTAACTAGCATACTAGGTAGGATCTTCACTGTACTGAAGGTACCATAAGAACAATGAAGGTATCTAACATGAAATGGGTTCGATCCGAGTGATCTAACCAGCGTATTGGCTAGGTACCTAACTGTTCTGAAAATAGGAACATATCTTCAAAGACGAAAGAATTTCAACAAACTGACGATGCCATCAAAAAAAAGCACATATGTGGAAACTATCTGATTAATATCTCACTAAACCATATATGTGTTAGTACGTGCTGTCTAAATCAGACGATCAAAAGAAGATATATATCTTAAAAAGTTATAGTTTACTCGTAAATGCAGACGATGCTATGATTTTATCGGTTTAAATTGTATAAATATTGTATCTTAAAACTTTTAATAACAGCTTGCTTAAAAGAAGAGATTAATGGGACCTTATAAGATTGACCCTTAGTGATAACAAAAAAACTATAAAAAATTTTTACGAAAAAAAGTTTATTCTTTAAATGAACTAAATAAACTAATACAAAAAAAATAACTGAATTCCGATAAAAAATACTAAATTATTTAATGAAACACACAGATTCTACTATCTTCTTCCATTTTTCTACTGCATTGATTATCCAACTTAACTTTTGCGATTTACTCTTCAACTCATCGTTTGTTTAATATATAATATATAATTTCACTAAACAATCTAATTAAAAAAGTAATAAATGCCGCACAACACCAAAGTTGAGCTAACCATGGGAATTAAGTAATAAGAGGCATAACGGCGTAAACAGTACCAGACTTGGCACCTCAGCTGCGCTAATTCTTTCTCCCTTTGCATTTCGGCTAAAAGCCTTGCGAATAACTGTTCCGAATTCCACTGCTTGGCTTTCTCGATCTGACGTAATCTACTTGGGCAGATACAGAACACTCTTTGCTTTTCGCGAGCAATAACTGCATCGAATACTGGATCGGAGTATAAATGGCTGGTTCGGATACGGTTACCACAAATAGGACATTTGATCAATGCAAGGAAGCAATTCCTGCAAAAGACAGCCTCACAATCGATATGCCGTGTACAGTCACGAAGAAGATTTCTGCACAGCATGCAATGGTATTTGAGCTGATAAAGTCTGTCGCATTCCATACACATTTTCGGACGGGGTGTTTAGATTAAAAACGATATATGAAGTATACAAGAAATTTTGTGACTTTTTGACAAATAAATATTTTAATTTTTATAAAATACAAAACTTCCTTTGTTATGAACGTGAACAACTAAAATGGTAATTAACATATATTTATAAAAAGATGGTTTAGAACTTCAGTGTAGTCACACAGCAAAAAAGTCAGTTACTATTTGACTGTCCTCGATTAACTCAAGACAGAACAGCTCCATCTGCTCAAGGTAATCATTAGATAAAACTCAGTTAAGAACCAATTGGTTGTGTTACTGTAGTCTTAAAAATTCTGAGTATAAGATTGAAAGCTCTCACGGGTACTTAACATCAGAAATATCCTTCAAATATCCAAGATTGTGCCAAAATTGAGTGTGTGTTCGTGATACTTACAAATCGATCAGTGTGAATAGAGTTTATTTGGTGAAGTGGTATTATGTGAATTTTATAACTGTGTCTAAGTTTGAAGAAACTACAGCTGCGACAGAAAGAACTACTGTGACCTTATGTGGACTAAGAGAATATTTCTACGTCTAATTTCCTTAATTAATTGTTAACCTCCTTCACCGATAACAATATGGTATATTATGCGATTTAAATTTACCTGTTCCAATGAGACTCTTGGATATCGTTCCCTAGCCAAATTCAGTAGTATTTCTTTGGTTTTATGTAAAAAGTCTGGCGAGTAACCGGCTAAAACATTAAAATTAAACATCCATGAAGAGGAAGCAGCCTTAAATACATTACACCTACAATATACAAAAATAATGTTAAAAAAATTAGATTTTTCGTTTTAAATGATATTTACCATATAATATGATATTTTCTATTAACTAAAAATTCCCAAGGATTGGGTTTATGCCAAGAGTCATTACCTGCAATAAGAAAGAAGGTTTCAAAATGAACAAAACATTTTGGGATTAGTTTTGTACAAATACACAAGTATGTAGAATATAATGGAATATAATATATATAATATAATAGAATATAATATATATAATATAATAGAATATAATATATATAATATAATAGAAAAATAATAAAAGAATAATAAAAAGAATAATAAAAGAGTAAATAGAATTTATTAATTTAAGATATTTAATATATCATATTCTATTCCGACGTGATAGTCAGTCTTCACAACAACAAATGGTCTTAGATAATAATTAAATGAAAAACCAAAAGTTTTCTGAAGATGGGGCTTTTTCGCTGCTTGCATTTGGATAATATTACTTGAAACCTTAGGCATAGGAAAACTCTTCAAACGTTGAATCGCTGTTGATATTAGAACAATCGCTTAAAAACTTTTATATATTTCTTTGAATCTCTTATGTGAAACAAGATAGATTAATTGCACAGATTTATCACTGCGAAGAAATACGTATCACCATCAACAATCAAACGATCGAAATTAAAATTGGATTGAAATGGGCGAAGTGAGGACGCATATAATTAACCTATTTTGACCGTGACGAATTAAAGCAAAATGTTAACTATTCAGAAGATTATAATTTAGCACGACAATGGGAACTCTCGATTTAAAAGTGTCCTCTTTGTACAGATTAAAACAACAGGGAACGTGATTAAAGGTCAAGTCTACCTCTAAGCAGAGACTACAACTTTATCTTTTTAGATAGATTCATCTAGTTAAGAAGACAACTCTGGTTATAATGACCCCTCAGATAACCTGCCAGCAACTTCAATGTAAATAATTTTGTAAATAGTTCGTCTTCACTCATTATTTTAACTTCACAGCAGTTGAGTGGGTAGCAAAAATAAAAAATAAATATCTCTCCTCTTAACATTTAGATCTTTTAATAAACAGAAATGTTGACTAATCAAAAACAATTGCTATAATACTAGCACACATACCTTAAGAAGATAAAAGAAATAGCAACAACAAGAAGATAAGGTTTCAGCTATTCAGAGATATGTATAGATATGTATAATATTATGACTTTATATATTTTTGGTATTACTTTTCTTTAGAAACAAAGTGTATGGTCAATAAGAGCAACAGCGCTATTAGAAAATTCACTAGAAATTTTTTAAAAATTATATATGAATAAAGATGTAAATGATTCCGGAGGCAGACTGTAACCATAACTACTTAAAAAACTCTAACTTTAATGAGAACAAGAAATACAAGGCTTTGTGTGTGTGTGTAGTCTAAAACATTTTCGTTAGGGATGAATTTGAAGTGGTTGGTACCAGTCTTAGTCAAAAAAGAAAATTAAAAGAAACATTATACACGCATCAGCACAGGTGCTTCAACTAAGCGAGAAGTGACAGCAGCAACTAAAGCCCTGAAAACTGGTAATACTTAAAAATAAGCCCAGAACTAGCGTCAGATATTTGGCTTTCAATAATATAATCTGTTTGGGATAATGAAACCATATCGAAGATATGAAACAAGGGTATCTTAGTAAAGAAATTTAATAATGGTGACTTAAGTGACTGCAATAATTATGAAGACATCATATTTCACCCCATACCGAGTAAAAAACTCTCTTGGATAATTCTATCAAGAATATCAGCAGAAGAGCAAGGAAGTCTACGAGAAAATCAATATGGAAGTGTATTGGCAATACGCTTAGGAAAGCAACATCCTGCATAATAAAGCAAGCTCTACGCTGGAATCTACAAGGTAGTCGCCGACCCCAGCTAAGATGTGGCAAAAAAACGTGGACCAGGAGTTTAAAAACGTGCAGTACTCTAGGAACCATATTACGAGAGAAGCAAGCAACAGAGTAAGATTAAGGGAAAATTTTGAGGCCCTATGCTCCACCAGGAAAGGAGCGCAGCAGTAGGTAAATATTCGGCAATATTCAACTTAACAATCTTTCAAATGCAGAAAATTATGCTTATACGTTATACTCCATGTATTTTAAAAAGGATCCAAATAATTTTTCTTAAAGAATTTATCTAAAGAATCGTTCTAATATAAACATATCAAGTAAATTTGTTAATAAAACTTTGATAGCAAAATAACAGTTTTTTTAGGTTAGTTGGTTAAGGTGCGCTGATTCTGAGCTTCACATTTGGTAGGACCGGAGTTCGATTGCTGGTACTTGCAGTCTCAAAAAGAAGTCAGCCAAAAATTCAATTAATTAAAATAATATAAAATGAATTTTTGTTGTTGTAGTTCACTACTATTCAAAAAAACCTCTTTAAAGAATTTATGTAATACATTAATTTGTATTGTATTTAAGCTCTTCTCTTCTTCATAAAAAATAATATTAGTAAATATCTTAAATATGCCACAGAACATTAGCCATTTTAATACTTACCGATGGCATCCAAACCATAATCTGCACATTTCTCTTGCATTAATTTCCGCCGGCGTTCCATGCGCTTTTCCACCATAAGCATATCACTTTGTGATAGTGTCTGTACGGCTTCTTCCGGTATGAGCGGTAATCTAGTCTCATTAATATACTTTATAGAAAAATACACAAGAAAGAAGAAGAAGAAGAAAATGATGAGAACACAGACATTAAATAATAATGAAATTTTTAAAAAATGTTAATTAACAGTGCTTGGGTTGACTACTTAAAATTATAAATAAACTAAGTGGTTGCCTAGCTGGCCTCTCGGAATTAATTTATTTATTAAAGCAAAGTCAAAGTTTAAATTAAAAATTTAAATTCTTGGCTTTAATTATTTTAATAATTTTGTGTTCTTCTTTGTTTTTGTAATTCAACGGATGCAGTGCAAATTTTCTTATAAAAAATGGATATAGAAATTATCAATTAAAAAAACTGATAAAAATTTGTGTGGAAAACATTTTGTGTGTTTTTTTTTTTTTTGGTTCACAGTGTATATTTACTTTCTCATGTTTTGAAAATCTTTTTCTAGAATTCCCAGTTGCCGCTACTGTTAGATCCTTATTCTTGCCAAGTAACATAACAGGATAACGAAAACTGTGATCGGAAAAGTGATCGTTGAACTTTGAAGCCTAAAAGTATATTCAGTATTTTTTTGCTTTTTATTTTCATCTTTTCATTTTCATTTTCATTAAAAATTTTTCTTTACAATTACTAAGTTTTGAAGCTTTCGCAATCAAGCAGCAAAGTGTAACACGGGACGTATGAGTGATTTTTTGATATTTGATTTTTGTGTTGTGCCGATTGAGAATTGATAAGCAAAATGTGTCTTCTTGCAAATTTGTTGTCTTATATACAATTTTTTTTTGTTTATTTTTTTTTTTTTTTTTGAGTTTGTTAAATGGTATTTAATTGCATGACCGTGAAAATTAAAAACTTATCTAAAGCTGTAAGACGAGAGTACGCCATCCTCACGTTTAAACTTGTGTGTGATTGCAGCAACTATGACTATATGACTATCATAGCTTGATAATTGGCGTGTGCCGGTCTAGACTACAAATCTAATGAATTACGTGTTTCTTTATTTATATGATGCGATGTCACCACGATTGTTGTTATTTATTGTGTGTAGAAAACAAACCAATGAAAACAAACCAAAACAAAAACAACTACGAAAAAAAGTGAAACGTTTTTCTCATTAAAAGTAAACGGCACAAATGCTAAGGTCAAGTGAAAATAGAAAATGAAATTGGAAATGGAAATGGAAATGGAAAATATACATATAAATAAATCATTAACATTTCAAGGGGTGTGCTGAGTTGAGTTGAGTTGAGCCGAGTTCTTTGTGTTTTCATGCAAAAATGTTTGACTACTTAAGCACCATGCAAATTGCGGAAGTATTTACTTATATAAATAATACATAAACTAGAAGAAGTTGACTAAAATGCAACAAAAAAAACAAAATTTATAAATAAAGTGATATCAGAGATAAAAATAAATTGATGTATGAACAAATACAATACAAAAGTAAATGCATTACATTAAAAAAAAATATTAATAATTTTGATACTATTGGGTCAAATGTAGACTATTAGCAGAATATATCATTCTTCATACTGATATAATCGACTAGAATCATATTGTTAGCATAACTATACATTTATTTTGTTTTCAGTAACTAACTTCTTACTTTACAGTAATAAAAGAAATTAGAAGTAAAATACAAGCCTACAAAATATGTTTTAAAACAACCATAATTTCCTAGTTCGCACAATGATGCATAACCCAAAAAAATTCAGTTTTTATAAAGACATTCCCCACCTGATATTTAAGATTGCATACCAATGAGTTGCACTTCCGTAAAAAGTGAAAAATGTCTGACTTTGTATATTTCATTAAATTGTACATATATTTTATTATTATATGTTATGAGTTTTAACAGATTGACTAACTCTTAGTGTTTGCTATAAATACAATCAAACTTCCATAACTCGAAGTCCAATTTTGCAAAGAAAAGGTTCGACTTATAGAGGCTTCGAGTTAGAGAATTTCATCATTCGACTTAGAGTTTCTCATCATCACTTTCCGTTGCGCTTGGAATTGGATCCAGTAGTTTAGAGCTATAGTGTTCAATAATATTGTCATCTGTAGGAAAGCTTGATATACAAATTTCATTGTCATGCTTAATATAATTGTTAAGAATAACATGGGAAGTTATTTTATTTATTTTAAACCACGCTGCCAGCGACTGGCATTTGCACAAAGAAGCAACATAAGAAAGAAAAAATTAAACATTTGATTTGGAAAAAGGGACTTCCCCTAACAGCAAAATACATTTATAGTTAAAACAAAAATTCAACTTATAGAATGCACTTTCTCATATTCCTGTCGTCACGGAACACAATTTTTATTCGAGTTATAGAAAAATTCGAGTTATAGAAGTTTGAGTTATGGAAGCAGAATTGTATGTAATTTGCTCTCTAAAACTTTGGTGCACTGGTTTAGGTTTTAGTTATAGAAAATTCGAGTTATATAAGTTGGAAGTTTGACTGTATTTAAATAAATGTTAGTGGTAGTCTATCTTATGACGACAAAGTCACATAATCTTCAGAAAGTGGATCTATTGTATAGTTATAAAGAAATTTTTAAAGACAAGCTATAAATTTTGGATAGGATAAACAAATATTTTAGATCCAGAAACTAGTGTATATTTCATTTTAATAAAGCAAGTAATTTGTTTAATACACACAATTGTTTTAGAAAATAAGCAATACTGACTAGATATGTGGTTACCCCATTGAATATTTGACACCTCTATCTAGTAAAATGAGAAAGAGGATTTATCAAAACGATATTTTAATGATCCCGTCGATAAATAGTTCAATATAAAAAAATAGATACAGATAAATACAGATAGATAGTTAAATAGAATTTAGATGCTGTTAGCCTCCATGCTTTAACCGCAGTTCCCGACCCTGATCATAGAATTAAGAAAAAGTCTTTTTCACTTCTCACTACTTTCCTTCACCCTATACCACACCCATGTTTTGTGGCTTATATAAAGATAGACTTTTAAGTACTAAGCCTCCTTATCGCACCTTTCACCTTTAATTATTGAAAAGAAGTTTCACGCATTTGTACTCCAGGACATTATTGTGAACTCTTTCGAATCTTTCTTAAGAGGTGGTTATTTTGTGTGTTAAAGTCTCACATTAGGCTGTCTATACTTTCCATATAGAAGACACTATCTATCAAGTTACCATTTATAACAGTCATAGCGCAAATGGGCATATTGAGAAGGAGGGAGGAATTTATAGAGGGAAGAGACAAAAGAGGTAGGAAGAGGATGGAAGGAGGATGAATCGACTGAAAAGATACTAGAAATAAACATATCGTCATAAATGTGACAAGATGTTTTTCTTGTGAACCTAGTCACCGGCTGTCTTGTGGGTAAGCTATATTAAACAATACAGCTTCACACTTTTCCAAAAGTGATATCAACCAACGACCATATAAGATCGCTAATTATATTATATTGCTTACAGTTGGTTTGTCACATTTCATAAGTTTTTATGGAAAATTCTCTCAGACTGGCGTATTTTAAAAATACAACGCAAACACTTGATAATAAATATTTTTAGGCGATTCTGTATTTTCTCTAAGGTTTGAATTGTACAAGTGCAACTATGTTTTCACAGTTTTCACAGTTATTTTAATAAATCACAACACCATCGGAAAGGTGACTAAAAGCTGGTTGTGCCTTTTGCTTTTGTAACACTGCTGCCGAGAACGACTTTATATTTTACATATTCCATGTCCATACCATCGGTGGTGCAATTCGTTGATCCCGATGACGATGCTATTTACTTCAAAGGGATCCGATTGGTATCATGCATGATTTACTCAATATTTAAATTAAGTGTACATAACTTTATGATATTAAGCGGTTTAGTAGTGAAGCAGAGTTCTCTCTGCAGCTGAAGAGATTCTAGGCCACAACTTTGCTTGGAATGAAAAGTAACCTAATATGTTTCTTTAATTGTTACAGTCTGACGCTATACTTAGGATGTTTTCATTTGACTGTTTAAAGTGTATAGTGCACAGAATTTTTAAGAGGCGTGAACCATAAAGATGGAAAACTCTGCTCTCAGAACAAGCTTCGTAGCACCGTGAACCACTCTCCTAATCACCTAACTACGGCAAGAGTCACTCAAGATAATATTCAATATCCTAGTATGGTATCTTAAATGGCATTGACCCTTCGTTTAATTGATATCTCTATTTAATTAAGCCTTAAATATATATAAATAAATCTATTATATACTGAATTATCTGTCAGATATTATTTTTAGGTATGAAATCGAAAGTGCTTCCACATTCCACATAAATAAACAAAAATGATTGAAAAAAATGGAAATCATCTCATTTTTTATTACGAATTTAACATGAGAACTACGAAATTTAACATTAATAAACATTTTGTTGATTTGCATACAAAAATGCTTTAAAGTCCCAAGTGTTCTGCTTTTCAAGCATTACGTAAAATATTTCATAGAACTACTCAACTCTGAGTAGTGGAATGTGTATTCATCTATCGAAATTCTTGTTTAATGCCCAAATTATTGTTTACATTTCTGTACAAGTTCAAGTAAATTTCCGCCATTGATCAAGCAGCGTCGTTCATACAAATTTCTCACTTGCCACGACCGCATGGGGTATGCGGCCACATAAAATCCTTCGGAATAAATTGTTACGTATACGCACTGTTTACCCAAACGCCAACTGTGCGGTGTGAGTAAGCGCTTCTGTGGCTGAACTACTCGATTTTTATTGCCTGTAAGTTTTTGTTTATTTAAGGCTTTTGTATTTCGAAAATAAACACGAGTGCCCATAGCCAAATTTCAATTATATTGATTTATAATGTTTTATCAATATTTGCTGGAGGAGAAAATTGTTGGATAAAGTACTCGGGCTTCGAAAATAAAATTTATTACACAAAATAATGACATTCCTCACGCCAAATTGATATTAAATATATTGACTCACCCATTTTTAGTTTGTAGTTTTTAGTTTTTGGATAAAAAATATGATTAATCGAACTTTCAGTTTTTAATCAAAAAGAAAACTTTACTCAAAAGTAAACAAAAAAAATATTGAATTACGAGCAAATAAGTGGATAGTTTTACTTGGACCACCATTTTTATTTTTTTATGCTCTGACATCCTTTTAAAGAAATTCACTCCAAATTATGGAATTATATAGCAGAACCGGATGTGCTTCATTATCAATTTATATGTAAGTCGAATTACATGTTTGTCTCTCTAAATTATTAAATTACTTTTTTCGCTACAACTTATAAGTCCACAGAATTAATTTAAGTAGAGGTCCAATACCACATTATCCGCTTAATTATCAAAAGCTTACTGGTTATGGATATTTTCCAGTTTCTATTGTAGTTAGTAAATGGACTGAAACATTTTCGTTTAAATTAATTTAAACAAAATTTTCAGAGAAAAAATGAGTTTAAGAACAAAAATGGAGAGTAAAATAATGAAGTAAATGGCGAAAAAAAGTACCAAATATAAGATAAATGAAAAAGGAAAGCAAGCAACGAAGAAACGAATAAGGCTCAGAAAACAGGTTCTCAAGTATTCTCCAAGAATGGAGAAAAAATTTATGAAATGAAGGATCAAAAAACAAATCGAAAACAAGATCAATGAAAAAAGAACGCAAAAAAAGAAAAATTAATATGGCTCAGAAAAGAAGGAAATTTAGAGAACGTAAATGGGGGGAAAAGAAAAGAAAAATTATCGTGGAATAAAGTATATAAAGTACAAATAGAAGAAACATTTATACAAAATCATTGCATTCTAGGCCTTATGTGGGATTCAATATATGTAATCCAATATCCGGGTATCTTCTTCAGACACAGAGAATAATGCGTTTTAAAATTATTAAAATAAATATTTGGTTTTTATTCAGTTTGTTATACTACTATAGGCATTTTTTGTATTTGTATTTCGTATTTGCCTACGTCTATGTTTACGTTCTAAATATATTCATAACACATAAATAAGCAATTAAATAAATTAGCTTTATTAAAAACCATATTTTTATTAAAAATATATTTATTAAATAAACAAATAAGTTTATATAAAATGATTATTCCCAGAAAACAGTTGTGATATCGTTCAAAGATCCCAATTCTGTTTGCTTATCGCTGCAAATATAATATGAAGTAGTCATATAACTTAAATAGAGATATATATAAACTGAAGTCAATATTGTTGCACAAGTGTTTTTTAAAATAAAATTGAAAAAAAAACATTATTAATTGTAAAAATATAATTAACAATAAATGCAATAACATACCTAATTCAAGATATAACCACATTTTCTTAAGAATGCTGTATAATTAAAGAAATAATATATTTATATATATTATACATATGTTAGATAAACAAGACCAAAAACAGATTTGCACTAATTGATAGCAAAGTTCATGCCAATATATTTGCACTGAAGTCGTAATATATTAGATCATTATAAGGAATAACAATACATCTTATGATATCTACTGATATCTACTGTGCTAAACAAAAATTTTATTAAAAAATTTCAACAAAGAAATTTTTTATTAAAGTTAGAGAATAAATATTTATTAACTAGTATTCATATAGAACCAAAAGCGCTTAACTCAAACATTGGTAACGTGTCCATCATAAGAGAGATAGAAAAATAGAGAGAGAGAGAAAGAGATATCAAGAATTCTAAGTAATGAAGTGGTTATTGCCTTTTGAAAGTAGTTTGAGGCTTATTCGATTATATTGTATTAAACAATGAATTTAACTTAATTTTTTTTCTCTGTTAATCTAAGTAAGATGCTTATATAGATAGTTTTAGTCATTTTAAACCCCTTATATGAGATTTACCAACAAAAAATTTGATACCAAAGATAGCTATAATAATATCAATTTACGAGATTCTTTTTAATAAATTCAACAAGCACACTTGGTATAGTACATTTTACTATTAAAAAACAATGATGCAACAATAAAGTATATATAGAACCCAGTTTTAGCTAAATATTTAATATAAAAGTTTTGCGCAGCAGCCTTTCTAAACGAAATGGATTGTGCCAGTTCTCTCAATTGTTCGTCTTGCTCATATAACTGAAATAAGAGAAAGTTACTACGCTAAACTTTTAACACTATGTCTTAATCCTTCAAGAAAAAATGGTCCTTCAAAAACTATTTTAAAATTTATTTATTTTGAATGAACCACATATTTATTTTATCTTCAAGCCATTTAGAGTGACTAACAGATTATTCTATTATTCTATAACTCTCGTCATATAGAGGATGTTTCATCTTATGAATGAAGCCCAGCATGTCCTTTATTGAGAAGTTCCTGATATCAAACTGCGATAAGAGTTACCGTTCCGTAATCCTTTTCTTGAATCTGAACAAGCACATAGTACACATATAACTTGAATACTCTGTGCTTTATTACCGCAATTGCTTAAATAGTTATGGTATAAACATATGGTATTTGATAATAATAATGATAATAATTATAATGATAATGGTAATGATAATATTAATAATATTGATAATAATAATTATCATAATGATAATTATATTGATAATAATTACCAACATAATCATTTAATTGGTTTTAAATTATCAAATATAAAAGATTGTTGTAGAATAGTACGTTTGAGATGTAACCATACAGATAAGATAAAGATGCGGTAAGCGTCATTACGATTTTTTGTCATATAAGATACATAAAATAATTTTCGGCATAATAGAATACGCAACGACATGTGGTACAGTACAACATAATAATCAAAAATTGTAATTACAACTGACACCATAGTTCCAGCAAGTTCCTAGGCTCTAAATCGATACAATGCACTGGTATTTGTCACTTTTTTATGTAGGTTATAACATTTTATTAGTATGTGTGCACATATATTAATCAGGTGCGTGGTAAAAGAAACTAATACGGAATAGTGTATGGATAAACCTGATTGTGGAAACACTATGATTTCAATTTACTTAATTACTAACTAATTACCGGATGTTTCCTTGAATATCTATTGTGTCTAGACAAAACCGAGACTCCAGATCACATACTATGCAATGTCAACCATTATTCCCTGACAACTGAGATAATTGCAAGTAGTGCAGATTAAAAGCTATATATTTTTCTTATTTCCTGGTTGGTAAATATAGTCTGACTCAATTAGGTTAGCATTCGAATGAACTGTGAATGCCATCAAACCGAACAAATTAAGTAAAACATTAGTTACCTTACTTTAATGACAAGCTAGGTAAGATAAGCATAGTAATATAAGTATCAACATTTCTACATGTTATCTTTATCTACGGAAAGATAACCTACTCCTAATAACATTAGGTTGCTAAATTAAAGTTAGCTAGGGGAGCTAGGTAAGATTACCGGATTAATACAACTACCAATAATTCTACTTGGAGACACCTGCGGATCTAAAATTAGGTCAGCAGTATTGGTGGTTTAAAACGCAGGTTAGGAATTAAGCTCTAATAAGGACAAGTTTTTGTTACAAGGCAAATGATAGTTTTTGACGTATTCGTTTAGAAGTATCGTATCTTACAAATGAGAACAATATTCTGAAATATGTCAAATCACATGTTGTAAAAAATAATTTGATTCGACCACAGGAAAAATTTTTTATTGAATTTTCAAATTTAATTGGAATAAGAAACCTCGCAATTAATAGAGAGTAAAAGTGCTCAGGTGCACTGACTCAACTAGCCTCAACATTATTAATTATAGATAAATATATTAGAACTCATACCAAAACAAACTTTAAAACCTTAACTTAAGATCGAAAAGTATATAACTCGCAAAATAGCGTTACTAGGATTGTGTCAATAAAGGGGAGGGGAGTGGACCAGAAAATTGGCAGTGTTTTTGCGGTTCATTAAATATTTAAATAAGATTTAACACAGAATACTTTAGAATACTTTAACTACAGATTAAGAGACAGAGAAATATAGTGAAAAAGTTTTTTTAATAATATTTTGTAGTTCACTGAATAAATAAAATGTATCATAGTGTAATCTAAAGGGGAATAAAGCATTTATAAAGCAAATAAAGCATTTATGGCAAATATTTTGTTGCTATAAATTAATAGTATCTATAGTTTTCCTTTTATCAACGTTTACTAGGAGAGTATTTCATGGATCATAAGGATCTAAGGCTAGGAAAAATAGGCACTATACTGTCTTTCATTAAAGTAGTTGGATTTGGAGAAACACTCTAATCCGACTAAGGGCACAATAGATCTTTTAGGTCGCAGTGTACGATCCCAACGTTTCAATGATATGAAGATTTACTATTAGTTTTCGTTTTCGAAATTATTTTGTCAAACATTTTTCTTAAATCTAATTATTTACTTTGAAGTAAAAATAAATAAAAAATTATACAACTGTCGAGATAATTTTAGAAATATTCAATTTTATCTTATTTTTTAATTAACGTATTTATGTCTTTATGGTATCGATAAATTGAAAAAAAAATCAATCTAGTGATTGAAAGTGAAATGTTGAGATACAAAACTTAAGTGCAGTAAATCAAGAGTAAAATTTATTAGGTCGTTAAAGTCAATGTATGGAGAAGAAAATGAAGCAAATTTTCTAATATAAAATTAATGATTTTGTTGATTTTTTTTAATGACTTCATGCAGAAAGCCTTAAACATTAGTTCATTATAAAGCAACTCATAAATCATTAAATCATTTATCTTTTACTTAAGTTGCGTAAACTTCTAATGTTCATTCAGAGATAACAAGCAAATGCCTTCATTAGCACCTCGGAAACGAGGTGTGAAATGCTAATTTTATGAAAAGTGTTAAAATTATTTTAAATAAATATAAATTTGAAATAAGATCAAATAAAATTAATTTTCTTTTTTTTTGAAATTTTATGTAATGCTAAAAATATACGTATATGTAACACATAATATAGAAAAATAAATAAAAATGTGTTAAAAAAAATATTAATATAAGTTTAAAGAGTTTTAGCACGAAAGAAATGCTTAAATCATTTGTAAATATTTATTTATTTATTTAGTAATTTTTTTTTTTTTTTGTAAGACTAATATTGATTAGGCCTTAAAATATCTTATGATTAATTACCTCATATCCTTTGATTTTGTAAATCTGTTCACTTCTCACCAAATAGACTAAAGCTAGTGGAAGCAGTGCAATCGCTGTAAAAACTAAAAAGTACCGCCGGACGGCGCGCCAATGTGTCTTACTCAGTCTCATTTAAGTTCAAAAATAACTGCACGGGAATTCGAAGCATTTGCAGATGTGCATATTTCGGTTCTAGAGACGCTTTCAGAAACTCAATTCAGATATTTTCTTCAAAGCGACAAACTAAAAATTTTGACAAAAAATAAAACATAAATAACAAAATATATGTTACAGACGTACGTTCTTCTGAAACTAATTTTGTTTTATTTATATATATATTTTTTTAATTTTATTTTTCTTTTATTTTTTGTTTGAAAAAATCTTTTCACATATATTTAAATGTTCTTTTATACTTTGCTGTGATTATTTTTATGTAATTGCAGTTGTTATTCTAAACTGGGTCACCAGAGCTTTTACCGCGCAGCCATGCAAAAAATAGGTGCACCCATTTTTATTCCATACTCTATTGTTTATTGGTCTCTTATCGTTAACTTCTGTATAAAACATGAAATCATGATTTGATACACGATTTAAATCGTTTATTCTGTCACTTCCGTTTTGTTTGAATATAAGTTAGGAACATTAAAAAAGTGGAAGGAGAAGGAAGGAGCAACAATCAATAGTTTCTAGAAAATAGTTGAACGTATGAATGAGTATAATATATTGAACATTTAGAGTGAAAAATTTAACATACTATAGTTTCCAGTAAGTGTTTATAGCTTTAATTGACAACATCCTCTGAAAACAAGACTTTAAGTTCTACAGAATTTCTATTTATACATGAATATATATATATATATACATATATATATATATACATATTTACAAACAAATTTATAGTATTTATTTTTAGTAGAGGTTAATTAATTCGTGAAATAAACTTTTAATATGAAACCTTATTTTATATAATAGATTAGCTAATACGAAACACTATAAATTATATAGTGTCGAATACATATATAGTATATACATCTAAATATTTATATATAAATATAAATCGTACTCTTAAGAAGATAAGACCAATTTACTACCACATTAAATGGAAGTATACTACATTTTTAAGCTATTGGGGGTTACTCGGAAAGTAATTTCGTTTTTTTCCCAACAGAGAATTTAATTTTATTTTCATACAGTCAACTCGACACTTAAGCCATATAATTAATATACAATTTGACAGCGCATATGTAATGCTTATTTGTGAGTTTTTGTATATTATCCAGATTTAAATTATAATTATATATTACAGATTTACTGTAGTTAATTGTAGTAACAATTTGAAGAAAACGCTAGAAGGAGTATAGGAAAAAATTACGCCTGGTTAAAGCAGCTCATACGTTTGAAGAAAAAGCAATCAACATAAAAACTTTATAGATTTCAAGACTTAAATTTCTCAAACAGACTTCAAAAATTGTGGTAGTAGGTCTGATTAACATTGTAGAAAGCACCAAAGCTAACATAAAACACAAACTAGAAATCCTTGTACGTAAAAGAATTATAAGGAGAGAAACACTTTAAAGACACGACTATTATCGTTTCTCATAATAGAGATTAAACTTGTTTCAAAATTAAAACTTTCACGCATTCTCTTTGCTAATATACAACCCACCAGATCAAGTACAAACAGTTCTCATTTGTGTTATATCCTTCCTTTCAACTTCAAGTTATTAAGTTTAAACTTCGCCAAAGGCTAAATACCGATATTAGTCGTCAACCTTATAATCTAAACAAATTTCTAACATATTTTTCAAAAAACAAAGTTCTACTTCCTTTGGCAGGTGTAAACAAGTCAGCACTGTGTATTCAAAATAATCGGCCTCGAGCCTCGATATTCAACTCTGAATATTACAGCAACCAAAACAAGAGAGGAAAGGTAACAAGATATACTATACTTGGATAAGAACAGAAGTAAACCTCTTCAATACACTCACGCATGCAAACAATGGTTAACTTAGCTCACACATAAATGTAAAAAGAAGCATTAGTTAATGTTCCAGCTAACGGCATCGAAAAGAGAAATATGAAAAGAAATGGCTAAAAAATGATTGAATTAAAAAAGGGTAATTTTAATAAACAATATTACCAATATTTTCAATGTTGAATATTTAGAGGCTTTGCTCTAATAGACTTTGTTATTCCTACTAAAATAATAAAGTTTAGATATGCGGGAACAAGTTTAAAAAATTAAATCAGAAAATAATCTAATATAGCGATTTTAGTTGCAACTGGTAGTTTCAAGGTTGATGTCAACTAAAATTAGAAAGATACATAATTTTTTAAAATTAATCTTTAAAATAATTTAAATAGAATTAATTTTGTCAATTTAATTTTTAAAAATCTTTTTTATATATTTATAAAAACCAACAAACAAAAAAAAATTTTTTATAAAGTAGGTGGAAATATTATTTCTGGCCTTGCTCCAATATCAAACAATGAATAATGTATTACAAAAATAATTTGTTATAAAACAATTGTTTCAATAATATTTTTTTTGTTCAAAAATTTAATAGGGATTAGAAATGATATTTATAATTGAAAAATATTTATCATTATATTAAATGTTATCAGATATATATATGTAGAACCAAGGATTGAAAATCTAAAAGAAACCTTACATTTTCTATCAAATTTTTATTTGTTCGACATCATATAATAATCCAATTACTTCAATAAATATTATATACTGAATATATAATATATAATATTATATTACTGCATATGAGTAAAACCAATAAATTGAATTTATATCAGTTACGAAGGTAATCTTCTTTTCGCATTCCTACAGGCAACTAATGCTAAATTTAGTTATACACATTGTATACAATAAAATAAACAAGAGTCAAAGTGCCAATTACTAGGGGCGCAACGCGAAAATATAATAAAGTTTTAGTATAAAAAATGAATAAAAATTCTAAACATATGGATGCATATGAATTGTCCCGCTAGATAATTCTAAATTCTATAAATATTATTTATGTCAATTATAAACTCATTCACTTTATTCTTACAAGTAGTCAATACTCAACTTAGCTCATATACTATATATAGTAAATGTACAATAGTACAGTAATGAACACAGTGTCAGGATAGTTAATGTTCAAGTCCATATAACTACTATATATATGTATAGTAAAATCTAAATATAATTGAGAAATCAAGTGTGAGCTAATAGCATCAGAAACACAAAAAAAATAAGAAAATATGACGAAAAGAACAAAATGATATGACGAATAAGTGGGCCATTATACTTCAACATTTCTATAGAAAATTTCTACATAAACCTTTTTACTGTTATACTGATTTTCTTCTACAAAAAGATAAAACATAAAAATGTACCTTTAAAATAATTCTTATATTAAATGGATCTATTACTTGTTACTGACATTTTTATTCTTCAATATTCAAATCAATGAATATCTTCAATCTAAATTTCTCAATAAATTAATCTATTCCAGTATTTTATTTTTTTTTTAATAATCACGATTAATTTGATTGTCAATTCTACTAATTTGCTAAATTATTTAGAATTTTTCTCTCTAGTTAAGAATTTAGTTATAGAATTAACAAGAATTATTATTATGTAGTAAAGGGCTGTCTTCAACTCCTAGCTCTTAAGATTATTGATTAAACAAATTATTGTTTAGCTTAAGCTGAAGAGAAGTGGTAGTTTTGTACACCATTTTTTTAAAATATACGTCATAAAAAATCTATCCCCTTGTTGTTATTGGTTTTGCACATTATAGGTGTATTAGTATTTCATTAGTCGAGCTCGATTATGTCTCCAATCATAATTCACCAACATATTAGTATTTTTCATAAATTTGTTTTTATATACAGACTAATGAATTGCTCTAATTCAATTAATTGGCATAGTGTACCACGTTTCGCGGGTCAGTTGCTGATATTAATAACCCGAAAACCACCAAACTTTTTAAGATATCTTACTTTATACTGTTAAAACGCTATATCTTTTCTGTAGTTTAATACTGTTCTTTGAGTTATTGTGATAACACAACCCTAGAGCTTCCGTAGCTGTTGCAAGGGAATTATTTTGGACTGAATAACCATTTTATAATTTAGTCAAGCGACAGTTAATATCTTCAATTCCTGACTCCGTGATACTGGACAGACAATTTAGGGAAGGAAAAATCTATAATACAATATGGTGCATATTGCAATATAATGAAACTCTATAATGCAAGATAGAGTGAAAGAGTGACACTTTCTGTTTTCTCTTCTGTGTGTAACCACATAGTAGGATATAATAGTTAGAAGAAATACGTTTAAAATTGTTTAAGATATATAAGAAATGAAAGGATTATGTCACTTTCTGGTAACGGATGTTGTTCTTGTTAATATATATTACTAATATTTTATTTCACTAATAATCAAGTCAGTGAATATCACTGATTTATATTCAACAGCAAATTACTAATTTCATGATTTCGCTTAAGGATTTTGAAAATTTCTAGAATTTTTGGTAAAGGATGCTATAATTTCTAATACATATTAGTGACACTATATTTCTTATAACTTAAGTCAGTGAATATCTGCAATCGAAATCTCATAACAGATTTATTCATTTTGTAAATTTATTTATTTTTTTCATAGAATTAAATTTAAAAGAATTAGATAAGGATTAGATAAGATTTATTAACTTCCTTATAAATGATATTCTTCTTGCTAATATATTTTAATGACACTATTTCTTCAACACCCTTAAATCAGTACATAAAATACTTATTAAAGATACTTTATTTCTTCAATAACTTTAAATCGGTGAATATTTTTAATATAAATAGTTGAACAGGTTTAACCGTTTAATTAATATAATTCTAAATTATTTAAATAATGAAAATTTTGACGAGTTTTCACTTTATAGTGAATCTATCAATTTGCTATTATTGTAAATGGGCTCGTAACTAGGAGAAAAAGGGAGCTTGAGGAGTTATAAACTCTCCCGCAATAAATTCAAAGACTGTATTCATATACATGTATGTATTTTCATTTTTAATGCGACATGAGCATTTAAAATGAAAAAACGGACTGAGGACAGTGGAAAGGTTTTAAAATACTGAAGAACCTTTCCGAAATAAATCTATAGACCAAATTTATACACGCCTGACATTTCCTAGACCACTGCTGATGAGTACTTGGCAATACTCGAAACAGCGTTGAATTTTTAGCCAAATTTTTATAAATTTAATAAATTTTTGTCCTTGTCTTCTCTTTGTTATTCGAATCCATCTTACTTTTAAATAAATCTATACTCATTTCTAAAACATCATAATCGTTTAATAAGATACAATTTTTGTTTGAAGTTATTAAAATTAACTGCTAATAAACACACCCTCTTGAATTGTCGCAACTGGTCTGCTTGTAACCCATATTATTAACTCGTCCTTGGAAAGTCTGTTTAGTGGAATAACTTTATTTTCTGACAAAATCAATATAATCCTTCCTTCTAATGGTAACATACTACCACACTATATAAATGCATGCTAGACTTTTGCACTAGAAAAGTGTACCAAAGTTCTTCTCATGACTACATTGCATCCACATCCTACGTGCCCCAAATACCTGAAGGTCGGTTGACTATAATTTATGTTCTCACTTAAAATCTGTGTAATTTCTTATTACAACCACATAAATATAATTTTAACTATTTTTGTGTTAAAAAATGAGTAATTTAAAGAAACTTTTTTTTTAAATTAAAAAATTAATATGCAACTTGCGTAGCTATTTTTGCGCTCAATGACGTGCCAGTTGCGCTCGTATATTTCAAACGAATAAAACAAAAACAACACAAAAAATATATAACAAATCGGGTCTTAAATATATGGGCAACATACCGACGTTGGTAGAAATTTCAATTTCAGTTTCAGTTTCACCCAATAATGTTGCAATGCACCAAGCAACAAACAAACAAAGTCACTAAAGCCACTAAAGGCGATAAAGTCGCCAAAATCGTCGTCCAAATCGCATTGCACTGAACCAGTCGAAAGCGTTTGGCAACAAAGCCAGGCACAAGCACAGACAGAAGCACAGGCACTGGCAGAGGCATTGGCAGGGGCATGGGCATGAGCTGCTTGGTTGGCGTGAAAGGCAAACAGTCTACGATTGAAGTCAAAACGGAAGCGGAAGAAAGTTATGTAAGGGTTGGGGTAATGTTAAGCCATCAAAATTTTATCGATTTTTATATTGCAACATCAGTTCAGTTGCTATGTAAATAATTTCGATTGTTTGCACTATTTTTGATTCTAAATCGAAAAGTGGCTTCTTTGTGCCACTCATTAGCAGGAATATTTTTTCTATTATTAAATAAATAAATAAAAAAAAACATTTTTATAGCACTTTTCGGAGATTTCGGAAAAACTCTTTTTTTTATCTAATTTACATCATTTTAGATATTTCATTTAAATATTTACTTTTATAATTTGTGTGTTTTGTTTTGTTTATTAACAAATGTTAAATCTATTATAAATATAGTTTTATTTATTTATTTAGTTTTATTTTTATTTTTATTCGCATATTCGTTTGTGTTTAAGTAAACATTTTATTTTACTTTTGTTTTGCTTGGCAAATGCCATAATGCAGTATTTTTTGTTTTTTTTGGTTTTTTTGGTTTTTTGTTTGAGAAAAGAAAATATTTATACAAAAATCTGATTTTTTGACAATTTCAAAAAAAAATTATCAATTATTTTATTTGAATTTATTATAATAATTCTTTAATCATTTAACCCACTGACCATTGATAACAATCAAGTGTCAAATTTCACAATTACATTTTAATTTATTGTATTTTTATGTACTAAATTTTATTGTTCATTGTTATTTTATTTATTTTTTTTATATAAATTTTTTCTTCCACTTTTTATTATTTTTGTTTTTTGAATTTTTTATTTTATTGTTGCACAAATGCCCGCATTCAAATCTTGCCTTTCTATCACATGAGCGGCCGCGCGCACAATAAAATTGAAATCTTAATCAATAGAAATTTCTACTTTCGTGAAAATTGAATGCTCATTCTTGCTCCAATTTTCTTCTCCTACTCTCCCAGTTGCCTTGTTTGTCGCTCGCACGCATTTTCTCTCCTTAAAGTTCGCAAAAGCTCATTGTTGTTGTGTTTGTTGTTTGTTGTTTGTATGTAAACAAACAACAAAAACGGGCAGCATTGCCCGATTACTTAAGCAACAAAAGCTTAACACAGCTGAACAAAAACAAAAACAATGGCGAAGACAAAAACAAAAACAATGGCGAAAAATAAAAACAATGGCGAAAAGCAAAAACAAAAACAAAAGTATTTATGAATGAAAGCATTCCGTGCATAACTGAAAGCCAAAAGGTCAACATTGTGTGCGGATTAATTACGTCAGGGACAATCTGATATTATTTTTTTTTTTTAGGTTAAGTAAATTCTTAAGAAGTGCACCTCTTGGGAAAAAGCCTAGTTGTTAGGCAGTTGTTCTGAGAATTATTATAAATTCGAAAGTAAACTGAACGGAACATACATATTAATGAAGTTTTTAGATAATAATGTTTTGTTTTTTTTATTTATTCCATCAATCTTTTTGTAAATATACATAATACACTGTTAAATAGACAATAAAAAATATTATTTTTATAAATACATCAAAATGTTTCGTGAACTGTTGGAAGCTGTCAAACAAATCCACAGGTTGTGATTTATATAGATTGAGTGGTTGGTTTGTTGGTGGGTTATCTTAGCTGATCGACATATATTCTTTAGCCTCACAGAACAATATCAAAGCACTATAGATAAACTAGATCCATTCACTGTAGTTTATGTAGAATAGATTAACTTATTTTCACTGACTCCTAAAAACATATATATTGATGATAATGGCATTAAGAGTTCACCAACATTAGACTATCGGTCATATATCCACAGCTAAAACTGTGAAACAATATCAGTCAATCAATCTAATGCCTACATCAATGCTTCGCACTCTATTTGGTATAACGTCATAAGATACAGTTACAGCAACGATATCTCCTTTTCTTGGCCACGTCCAGTTGCTTCGAGGCTTCCTCTTCGTCTTCATTGAACATATAACGAACATATCCATAAGAAAGATTTTTCTGTTCACATTAGTTCACTACGCTCGGATGATTGTAGCTATCCATAGGGGGTTACGTGGGTGTTGTGTGTCAAGGTGGATAGAATAGTGACAGTGATAGTGCTGGCATTTAGCAAGTTAAATGCAATCAGGTTACATTTTTGAATGTCAATTTACAATTTTTTCTAGGAATGTTACAATATTAAATTTCAACGTTACAATATGATGAAATAGATTCAGATTCAACACTAATTATAAAGTGTATAAATATTAGTACATAACTTTTTAATATTGTAATTATATTTATATATAATCTGAGATCTAAAGAAGGTCTCTTTTTCTAAAGTAGAACAGGACAGTAACACCTTTTAGGTCTTAGACTTAGTGAAGATAAATTCCCAATATATACTTCCAAGTGGTATAGTATGGTAATAATAATTATTAGCTCATGCAGAAAGGGGGACTGGCCATCAGCATGCTCATTACCCTGTTTAAAAATAATCTTTAAAGGCGGAGGAACTACTATAAAAAGTCACCGACATTAAAATCAGATAGGCAAGAGGATGCCACCTTTTTATTATCCAATGAGAGAATTAAATAACACTACGCTCAAATAGGAATAAGTGTCTGGCAGAAGAAATAGATGAATATCTGATATATATTAATATATTAGAGACATTTGCCATTTGAGATTAACTGCAGTAAAAAAGTTGGATAATTTATTATTATTGTTCAATGGAGCACTTAATACAGTAGATCACTCAAGTGATCACAAACACTTAAGTAAAACCAAAGAACAAAACTTAAACAATGTTCGGTGTTGCAGATCCTTGGTTCTTAGCAAAGCTTATATAAGAATTCTTTTATAGAAAATGACTTTCTTCTTTAACACTGAGTTCCAGTGTATAAATTGGATTAAAGTTTGTTTAATCCACATTTGAGGTTGTTTTTGTTGTAATATTATCTGAAATCCTTAATATCAATTTTTGAGGTTGGCAGTGTTTTACTTGTTTAGAGTTAATGTGAAGTTTAGCGAATGTGAAGTTTTATACAAATGTGGAGTCGCCTATGTCGCAAATTTTTGAAGGAACTGTTCAAAATACTCCATAAATATAGTGGAGATGCTAATAATTTCAAGTATTATTTGTATATCATCTTTAAAAAAAATTTATTATCAAAATTTTCAACCATTAACAAATAACAAAAATAGACACTTATTAGTATACCTGTTACCAAAATATATATTTTATATAGATTTTGTTGTTTGTGTAAAATTTTAAAATTGTTTGTGTTTAGTATTTACAATTAAAAGAGAGGCAAAAATGTCTGGATTATGTTTCGTTATATAAATGCAGAAAGAATTCCATGTATCGTTTTCTAACTAATCTCCACAGTATTCAATAAAGGAATGTACATCGGTATTTAATTTTTTACGACCATTTAAATCTACAAGTTCCAGAATAACTACACATGCAACAACCTCGCCTCCTGCTTTTTGCACCAGTTGTATAGCAGCATCCAATGAGCCGCCCGTAGCTAACAAATCATCTATAATCAAGACTTTCTGACATTTTTGGATGGCTGTAGTTTGCATTTCGAAGACATCCTATAATGAAATAGACAACATATAATAAAATAAAATTTTTTCGACACTTCCCTTACTGTGCCATATTCAAGTGTATATTCTACTGAAACAAGTTCTCCAGGCAGTTTTCCCTTTTTTCTCACTGGCGCACAACCAATTCCCAATTCAGCTGCTATCATCATATTAAATAGGAAGCCACGTGATTCAAGCCCAACTATTAGTTCCACTTCTGGATGGCATCTTTTAATGTAATCAACAACAATTTCTTTTAGGTATTGACATACTTTCCCATCAGTCAGGGCAGAAAAGATATCACTAGAATTTTTTCAGTTTTTAATCATTTTTTATTAATATTTAATAATGGCAGCCTAAAAATATTACATACCGAAATATAATACCCTTTTTTGGAAAATCTGGATAAGAACCAATGCGGCTTTTAATGTATTCAATTTTTTCCTTTTCAGTCATTATTTTATTTTGACTTAACCTATAAGGTACGTTGTGTTTACAGTTCCAACTGATAAGAAATTTGCACACGCCAGATTAATTCAGTAATAAACAATTTTTATCAGCTGTATATTTTATTTGACAGATAACTGAACAAAAACAAATTTAAATTTTAATTTAAAATTTATGTACCGAAAAGCGAAAAAACTGAAATAGGAAGGGAAAATTATTTTGACATTTAAAAATTATCATATGATATCACTTTAAATGCATAATTTGTCAGCAGATGTCAGAGCGGAAAAAATATGCTACATCTACTCAGGGAGTAGTTAGTATAAATTACAAATTTGTAACAAACAGATTATTTGATAGATTTAAAATAAAATTTGTTTTCTTATATAAAATCTTTAAATACTGTTTAATACAACGTGGTGTGTTAAGTAATTTTTATGTTTTAAGATATGCTTATATGCTTATTTCTATTATGACAAATAAAACAATATTAAGAGAATTATACAATATAATTTCCAATCTATAATTTTATTATTACAAATACATTGCCAAAAAAAATATTTAATGAAATATTCAAATTATGCTCAGATATAAAATCTTAATCAGCATAATTTTTTATAAAAATTACTATATAATTATTTATAAAAGTACAGTCGGTCTAAAAATTTTTTCACTGATCGCATTTAAATAGTATTATCAATGATATCGGAGCAGGCGGTGAGTTCATTTATAATTTAAAATATCATAATTTCACTCTTTTTACTTAAAAAAAATAAAGTGTTTTGAATTTAACTATTTTCTGTTTCTGTAAATTAATTGAATTTTACTAGAAAATATTCTTCAAGTAAAGTCGAAAAATAGCTGATTTGTCTTATAAAAATAAACATGACAAATGAGTTTTTTATCGTTATGACGCAAAAAATATAATTATTTTACCAAATAGAAGTAGCATCTCTGAAGCAATTCCAATCTTTCACATCATTATAGGTATTTTCAGCAGTTAATGAGTGTTTTAATTCTCTAATTATTGAGTATTACAATATGAATAATATTTAAATAAATAAAAAAAAGATAATAAATTATTCCCATATAGTGACATATGAATAAAATAAATTCATTATTATAATTAACATACTATAAACAATAAAAATTAGTTATGAAATTTAAAAATCTCTGTAAACTGCTCTTGTTAGAGAGGGAATATAATTTTATTTTTTTATAAAAAATGGCAAACCAAAACCGAATGAAAAACTTTTATTTAAAAATGTTTAGCATATATTTCGTTCTGTTTTTTAGAACTTCATCAGTGCTTAATTTTTTATAAAAAGCAAATAATTTAGGTTTATTATTTATCTTAATTTAAAATTCAAATAAAACAATCACAAATGTACAAAATGAACATGTATATAAAATGTTAACAAATCTAAAAGATTTTAATATTAAATTAAATGAAGTAAATTGAATTATTATTTATTAAGTTTTATTTTAAAACGCTATATATATTCCTTTATAATATTAAGGATGAAGGTTGTTAGAATGCTAACTATATATTTAAATAAAAAATCAGATAACATTTTTTTGCTGCTTGGTTTCTCACAAATTTTTCTTTCATTCCCCGGTTTAAAATACATAAAAAAGCTTTAAGAATACACATAATATTTATGAAGAAATTGAAGTTAAAAGCTCCTTTAAAATTTCTAACTTGTTAGCCAATATATTAGCAAGAGACTTAGACAAAAGAATCAATAAGTTCTTGCCTCACTTCGAAGCGGCCGAATACAGCTATAATAATTACACTACATACAAAAGATCAAAAGATCTTATACTGTATTCACAGGCAAAATAAAATCTTTTGACAGTTAAAATTACAAACAAAAGTCTTGTATGAATTTAGTATTAAACTAACGTTCACACCACACGTAGAGTGCTTTCACTCAATTTGAGCACATTGCCTATAAGCCAAATAACCAGTTTGAGTTAAGCAGGTGCGAAAACTCAGTTAACCAGCGGCGCAAGTTTAAACCCAAGAAGCATTTTCGAAACAGCGCAAGAAACAGTTTCGATTATACTTTCGCGACTTTGTGTTGTGTGTGCGCATTTCGTGATAAAAAGTTGTGCATAAAATTACAAAAAAAAATAAATGCTTAAAATTTTTGATTATTAAAAATTTACACTTTCTGCGTGTGTATTAATATAATAAATTTGCAAAATTAATACACGTCAAAATTAAAATACTCATTAGTGGTTCCATTAAAAACAAGATTTCTTGATCTCGACTTCTTCTTCTTGCTGTTGTTGTTGTTGCGCCTTCTTGTGTTGTGTGCTATGTGTAAATGCCACTGGAAATTTTGACATTAAAACAACTACAAAAAAATAAAAACAAAAAAACACGGTTGCGGAGTAAAATGTAAGTTTGTGTTTTTGGTCATTTATAGGATTTTTCCTTAATTTATGCTTCTTAAATGATAAAATAAAAAAATTTTAATAAGTATTTTGTAAAAAAAAAACTGCGTCAGTGAAAAATAAAAAAAAAACTTTTTCATATCACAATTTTATGTAAAAAAATTTTGAACTATGCGGGTTCGCAGGCAGCCAACAAACGCTTGAGTTCTGTTATTGTGCATTGTTTTTGTTGTTAGTTTCGGAGTTGAATGTTTGCAAACATGAGAATCGTGATCTAATAAAAAACAAAAACAAAATAAAAAAAAAGTTGAAAAATTTCGCTATCATGAATGAGATGCAAAGAAGTTTGCACAGTGAAAACAATATATAAAAAAATTTAAAAAATTCTTTCACGCTTTTTTATATAAAATTAATTAAATATAGCAAAAAAGAACTGGTTTAATATTAACTAGATGTCAACACAATCTATATATGTACATATGTATGTATGTATAAAAACATACTCATAGTCATAGTCATAGACCGCAGAAACCCTTAACCGACTTTGTTTTTGTCATCCAACTGCATCACTCTACATGTAATAAATTGTCTTCTAACAGATTTATGTTGTTATTGTTTTGTGGTATGGCGGCTGCCGTTGGTATATTTACGCTGTTAATATATACAACAACAATAACATCAACACCAACACCAACAACAACTACATAATTCATTAATCCGTAATACTGTTGATCTTTTAAGTCGATTTGTTGCTGTTGTTAACTGTTGGGTACGTTATGTCCGTAAGATATGCCAAGCCAACAAAATAAATAAGGTAGAATGAGAAGAAGAAAAAACAAAGAATGTCAAAGTGTCTTTGCTGTTTGTGTTTTATGTTGTTGTTGTTGTTTTTTATTATTAATTAATATTGACCTCATTTTGTGTGTTTTGATGATATTTTTTATTCTTATTGACAAGCTCAGAAATATTACAAGAGAAATTATTGTGCTTCCTTGCAAAAGTGCGTGTAAAAAAGAAAGTGAAGAGTTTTGTCTTCTTGCCAATTTCTCTTTTTCCCTGTGAGTGGTTCATCATAATTTTCAAATTTTTTTTAAACTTGCTTAATTGCTTTTTTATTTTTTTATTTTTTTATATTTTCTTATTAATTTTTAATCGGAAGTAATATTCTCAATATTAATTACATGCCGGACGTTTGCTTCCGATACGAAAGGGAACACATGGAACTTCAGCAAAATGCGTATTAGGAGACTTTATTTAAGGAGGAGTTTTAAAAAACCTTTTCAAAGAGTTCATATGGAAAAAATTTATATAAAAAAAATCCATTATATTTAGTGTAAAACTGTCGGAAATTTTTAATGTGTATTGAACCCCAAAACCCTCCTTGTATATGTCATTAAACGTAAGCTCTTTAAAGTACCTCCGTTTTTGAAGATATTAGGTCCAATCAGGTCCAATCTTCGACCGCCCAATAAAAGGAATCTTAAGTTTTGTTAAAGCTTCAAGTTGGTTTTTAAATTTCTAAATTTTCACTATACACAATGGTCCTAATTGAATCTTTTGGATCGCAGACATAGTCTAACAACCTAACTACATATAAAAAATTGTTCCCTGAAGATGAGTACGGGCTATAGTCACCATATTGGTCCTAGCTGTGGGATACTGTAAGTAGCTCAAATCTTGAAATACTGCAACGATTTCAATCTGAAACGCTTAGATTAATTGTAAATGCTCCATGGTTTGTAACAAACCACTACTTTCATAGAGATCTCAATGTCCGCTACATAAAAGAGGCAATAAGAAATTATACATCAAAATACCCTGCAAGACTATGCGAACACGTGAAACCATTAGCTATAGCTTTATTAGACGAGACTGATGAGGTCAGAAGGCTTAAAAAGTTACATATATTAGACTTCCCATTTAAAAATTAAGTTATTATTAAGTAATTGCACAATATCCATAAGTTATAAATATCCATTTTTATTAAAAATCACTATCTTTAATATGGTATGTTGAGCTTTAATGTAACTTTAAAAATAGTAAGATTATTGATTTCATAACTATAAGATAGTCAAATATTTACTAGGTCGAGGTTTTGTAGACTATTATTAACAAGTAAAAGTAATAAAATATATTCTAAATACATTAGATAAAAATATGGTTTATGTTTTATCTTTATATCATGTTAAAGTCTTTGCTTACTAAATTCATATTAAAATCAGTTTTGAGACTCAAGTAACTACCGTGAAATTAACCCTAAAGATTTCAAAAGGTAAGATCGAATTTCATAAAGCTGCAATTAATAAGCTTTGCGTTAAAGTAATAATTATACTTGTTATAAATTTTGTTTATAATTTATTTTTAAAATTTGATAATTGATTTTGTGTATAAATTGATAGTAACTAGCGTTATGTTATTGCAATGATGCTAAGGATCTATGCACCCTGTATTACCATATATGTAAATCTTGGAGCACTTAAAAATAGATCAGTGATCAATGAGGGTAAAAAAAACACTATTGTATTAGCAAGTAAACTATTTTTTTAATTGAACTTGTAATGACAATGCTGCTCTATCAATTATTAGAACACTTCAAGATTATATTAAATGGTATTTCAGAAATGAAGGTCACGCAATTGAAAGAGTCTAGAGTTTAGAATGTGCAAAAGTACATTAAGGACAGAGCTCTGAAATTGATTCTGTGGATACACATATTTTTATTAAAACAAATCCTCAGATATCCTGAGCTTTAAACTAAATCTCTGTAAAATTAACTGCATAACACATGATCATACGACAATATAGCTCTTATTATAACGGATTTCCCAACTGGTCATAGACTATAAATCGCCTAAATATAGTTCTTCGATTATTTTGGTACGAGTTCAGCATCTTAAAATCGTCCCCTGTCTACGTGCCTTTTAAAGCTATTTTGATCCTTTAATATAATTAAAAATTCTACTGCAAAGATTCTTCAGAAAGTATTTCCCAAGCAATGTACAATGTAAATATCTCTGGATTCGATGAAGATTATGTAGCTGTACTTCTACATTAAATTATAACCGAACATAATGGAAAAAATTAAGAAATAATAAAAGAAGGAGACGTTAATTTTTTGTTACTTAAGTTACTAATAAAATTAACCTTGATTTTCTTTTATGTTTCTTGTCATGTAAAGTTACTCGGTCATGAAAATGTAAGCAAATTGCAGATAAACCTTTAAAAAGTACTTTGTTTTCAATAATTTTGTTGTTAAAATGTTATAACTATTTTATGATCGTCATATACAAAAAAAAAAATTATTCAAATTAAAAGTATATATAAAATAACTAAGCGAAAAAATGCATTTGTTGTGTTAAGTTTAGGGCAGGATAAAACCAAGGCACTCACTCAATTGACCATTGTGTCCATTAAAAATAAGTGCTTTTTTATGTATTTAAAAATAATATTTCTACCAATATGGCATTTTTTTAAAATTTATCAAGTTTTTTTAAATTTTTTATTATTAAAGGTTCTTAAAGAATTGTTGGTTGTCTCTAAGTTATTACTAGTACCTATCTACCTCAAAAAATTGGTATGACGCGGAGTGCCATACAAAAATAGACTTTTGTTTAAATGTAGAACAGAATTTTGATATAAAATTAAATATTGTATTATTATTAAACACACAGTTAAGTATGTTACAAATGCCTTGCATATTCAAAGATCATTCCTAGTAAAAACCATGACAATTCGTCCCTTGTGAGACTAAAGTTAGAACCTATGAAGTGGAGCATTATAATAATATAAAAAGGTTTAAAAACAATTGTATAATTAAGCATTTAGTAATAAATCCTCCTATTTTAAGACTTACCCTATGCTACTTTAGTATACACATTGGAGATGTAGGATTAACTCTTTAAGAAAAAAGTTCTGTAGCTACAGAGTTTTCACAGTTAAAGTTTTTGAACGTGAAAAGACTTAACATTACGGTACTCTTAACGTATGTGTCAGTGTAATGCACCAATAAACCAATTGAAGCTATACGTTTCAATATAATTCCTTTTAAAGAGAGCTAGCCCTATCTTATACCTCTGTTGTTCTTTGGGCGCAGCGTCCGGTTGGAATATACAACTCCACTTCGAAATAAAGTAATGATTACAGACATACTACCCGCGTTTAGACCACAACTATCACTATACTCCCATTAAAAGGGCCAACCTCAATTGGTTAGGATGGCCGAAACTCTAACTTTCGTGATAGTAGAGTTACATCATCGGTCTGATGCGGGAGGTTAAACTTACCTTCTACCATTTATACTCTAAATAGTAACGGATGCCTTTCACTGGATTTTAGTCGCCTCTCGAGGCATGTCTTACCTGGGGCTAATATATGCCCCTTTCCAGCAGGGTTGTCTACAGCTAGAGTAATAGCCTCATGTTAGGTAAAGTTGTTTTTTATTAAGCATGCTGCCAGTAAAACGTGTCCTATTATTACTGCAGTTTTATTGAACAGTTAGATGAGATCTACGGCAAACACTTCCGTTGATAAGTTCATATCTATATATAACTATTTGTATATCATTGCTTTATCTATGATATATACTACACATCTACTCGATTTAAAAGTGAATTGTGCGCTATATATCATCAATCATCATTCAAAAATCCATCAGTTCTGCAGTAGCCTCATGTACCCATATAACCTGGTACTCATGTCCAGCAAACCATAAACTAATCGACTTTTTTTTAAAGAAGTAGTTGGATTTCATTAAAAATGTGGGGGTTTTCTTCCCAAATATTTTTTGAGAGGGAATCTTTTATTTCAAACTGTAATCTATTATTATAACTTCTTCAAAAACGCTATATTTATACGTATAAACTAAACATCATTGCTGTATATAGGTTCATTTAAATTGTAAAAATAATCAGTATTTTGTTTTATATTCGCGTCATGGTTTTAGAATATTGTATTTATTTTCTTCTATGTTTTCATCTATAGCTAACATAGATGGCATAGATGGCT